AGCCAGGTCTCCCATGTGACTGGCAGAGATCCAACAACCTGAGCCATCACCTGCTGCCTCCCAGGGTGCGCATTAGTGGGAAACTGGATTGGAAGCAGAGGAGCCAGGACTCAAACCAGGCACTCGGATATGGGATGTGGGCACCCCAACTGGTGTTTTAAACTGCTGTGCAAAATGCTTATTTTTTTAAAAAGATTTATTTATGTATTTGAAAGGCAGAGTTACAGAGAGAAAGGAGAGAGAATGAATCTTCCATCCGCTGGTTCATTCCCCAAACGGCAGCAACCCCCAGAGCTGAGCCAGTCTAAAACCAGGAGCCAGGATCTTCTTCCAGGTCTCCTACATGGGTGCAGGGGTTCAAGCACTTGGGCCATCTTCTGCTGTCTTCCCAAGTGCATTAGCAGGGAGCTGGATCAGAAGTGGAGCAGCTGGGATTCAAACTGGTGCCCATATGGGATGCCTGTGTGGCAGGCAAAGCTTTACCTGCTACGCCACAGCGCCGGCCCTAGTAATAGACTTTAAAAAGAGTAAACTTTAAAAACAGCCCACACCAGCTGCTCCCCTCCCCTGTGCCCACTGCTGACCTCTCTTTCCTCTGTGTGGCAGCGACTCTCAGCCCCCAGATCCCAGTGACTCCAGCACAAAAGAGAACCAAGAGACGGCCAGGTCTGGGGAGGCTGGGGGCCAGGGTCCACCCTGGGTTTCCTTCCCCCTGGCCAGGCTCTTGGTAGCTAGGGCCCTGTGTGGGGCCCCCAGGCCTCCCCTCCTCTTATTTGGCCCCCACTGAATCCTGTGGCCAGCCACTGGGTGGTGCCCATCATTTCTAGAGGGCATCTCCTCCATCCTCTGTGAAGTGGGCAGACCACTGCGGAGTGGCCCCAGGGCCTTCGCACCTCTGCACTGAAGGCTCTGTGCTGCCCTTGGCCTCCTGTCTTGTCCGAATTCCATCCCACAGACTGTCTCTTATGGAGCCTCTGGCAGCCAGCCCCAAGCCTTTGCTTTCCCTTGGGGGAGGGGCTGGCCCCAGGACCTCTGGTGAGGGAGAGATACAAGGAGGAAATAACAAGGGTTACTGCTGGCCGCAGCCCGGAGGTGCCCTGGCTGGCAGGGGTGGGGCCAGCATGGCCTTCTGCATTTCCTCCCATTGTTCGGCGCCCCACTTCCGGGAATTCTCCCGGCCCAGGCGGTAGGGGAGGCCTGCCCTGGTCGGTGCTCCACTCTGCCAGCAGTCTCTAGGGCTCCCCAGCTGAAGCTCCAGCCTCCATCCCCACCCACCTCCCAGGCCAGAAAGCTCCACGCTGCCCAGCGAATCTGCAGACGCGAGGCCTAGGGCCAGGCCGCAAGGTCCCCTTGTGCGCCCCAGTTTTCCCCTGGAGGATGGGGCGACTGCCTGCTGGTGTCCTGTGAACTCATGCGTCCCCTCCACCTGCAGGCTGGGCTTTTTGATCTTGGACACGTTCTGGCAGCAGAGGCCTCTGGCATGGCGTGCTTCAGGAGCCAGAGCTCAGTGAACTGTGATGCACGGAATCTACGTCTTCAAAGGCATCTCAATCAAAGCAGCTCACGTTTTAGAAAACGAGGGGTTTTAGACCTCCGAATAGGTAGCACTGAACGGCCTCCTATAAAGAACATCAGAAAAGTTGTCTTGCTTGCAAGGGCACCTGTAAGGTGACAGGCTGCTGGTCCACGAGAGGCGGATCTTCTTGGCGAGAAACCCGTATAAGCAGCCAGCGCAATATTTTGTGTGCGTGGTAAAATATCCGCAGCAGAATCTGCCGTCTTAGCCAGTTTTTTTTTTGAAAGAATATGTATTCTGCAGTTATTGGGTATTTACATTTTTGTTTATTATTTATTTGAGAGGCACAGAAACAGAGGGAGAGAGAGATAGAGACAGATATATAGAGATCTTCCAACTATTAGTTCACTCCTCAAATGCCCGAAACCTCCAGGGCTGGACCGGGCTGAAGCCGGGAGCTTGGAACGCACTCTGGGTCTCCCCTGTGGGTGGCAGGGACCCAAGTAGTTGGGCCGTCACCCACTGCCTCCTGGGGTGTGCCTCAGCAGAAAAGCAGAATCAGAAGAGCTGACCCTCAAGCCCAGAGATTTTTATCCACTGCACCCAGTGCCCACTCATTTTAAACAATTTTTTTTAAGTGTACTTCAAAAATTCATGGAAACATCGAACGAGAAGTTCACTTTTGGCCAAAGATTTTGAAACCCATGCTTTTTTTTTTTTTTTCCATAATCTGTGTTTTCCATGGATTTTTGAAGACCCCTGGTACAGCTCAGTAGCTTTAGGTGTGTTCAGAGTGTTGTGCAGCCATCACCACCCTCCATCTCCCAACTTTCCTCTTCCCAAACTGAATGGCTGCGCCCCCTGAGCAGTCACATCCCCTGCTGCCCCCTGCCCAGCCCTGGCGGCCACGTTCTACATCCTGCCTTATACATTTGGTCACTACCTCGCGTAAGTACTATCAAACAGCATCTCCCCTTTTCCTCCAGGCCCATTTCACTCAGTATAATGTCCACAAGGTTCATCAATGTCGTAGCGTGTGTCAGAATTCCCTTCCTCTTTAAGACTGAATGATCTTCCATAGTCTGTATTTATCACGCTTTGCTGGGCCATTCGTCCTCCCTAGAGACTTGGTTGCTCTGTGAATGATGTGAATGGTGCTGTTAGGAACGCGGGTGTGCAGACGTCTGCTCCACTCGCTGACTTCGGCTCTTTCCAGCACATGCTCAGTAGTGGGGTGAGAGGTCCCACGGTAACTCCCTGTTGAACCCTCTGAAGACCTGCCGTGCTCTTTTTTTAAAGACTTATTTATTTATTTGAAAGGCAGCGTTAAAGAGAGGCAGAGGCAGAGAGAGAGAGAGAGAGAGAGAGAGATCTTCCATCCACTGGTTTTCTCCCCAGATGGCCGCAATGGCCAGAGCTGGGTCAATCCAAAGCCAGGAGCCAGGAGCTTCTTCCGGGTCTCCCATGTGGGTGCAGGGGCTCAAGGACTTGGGCCATCTTCTACTGCTTTACCAGACCATAGCAGAGAGCTGGATCAGAAGTGGAGCAGCCGGGACTTGAACTGGCACCCTGCCATGCTATTTCCCATGGTGACTGCACCCTTCCCCGTCCCTACCAGCAGTGCACAAGACTTCCAGTTTTCCCGCATCCTGGCCAGCTCTTCTTATTTTCTGGTGTGTGTGTGTTTATAAATGTCATCCTACTGCATGGGACAGGTACCTCATTGTAACCAAGGGTGCAGGTTTATCTCATGGGGTGGTGAAGACCCCATGTTCAAATTGCTGATCCCAGGGAACAAATCATGTACTCCTTATGCATCCAGGAATGCAGCTGTGGCTGCTCATTGGCCCGGCGGGGCTTCCTGCCTCGCAGTGTGGGGCGGGGCGGGCCTCACGCCCAGGGAGCAGACCCCAGGGGGACAGGCTTTGCTCTGTTGGCGCTGCCGCCACCAAGGTGCAGAGCTCGCAGCATGCTCGACTCTTGGCGAAGGAACAGCCCCTTTCCCTCGGGCCCCTTTCTTTTTCTTTTTAAATATTTTATTTATTTTGTTAGCAATGACTAGTGGGATAGTTTCCTGTCTTCGTGAAAGAAAGAATTCAGACGTGAGACGGAGAGTAGTGGTAAGCAAGGCAGCAAGGTTTAATGGGGTGGGACGTCCGTCAGAATGGATGCGACAGAATCCGAGAGAGAGCGCCCAGTCACTCACACCGGGAAAGCAAGCTTACACGGTCAATGGAGAGAATGCACCTGGGGCTTATAAGGGAGAGGGGTCCAGTTTTTCCTTCTCCTCCTCCTCCTCCTCCTCCTCCTCCTCCTCCTCCTCCTCCTCCAGAACAAAGGGCTTGCTGAGTGTGCATTAGGTGAAATTCCTCCCAAGGTTTCACTACTCAGTGCTGTCAGACTGTGGAGCCCACCTGGCCCTGGGCAGTGGAGCCTCCCCTCGTGTGCCTGCCCTGGAGGAAGGTGTGAAGGTTTTATCGTCAATGTCCTCAGGGCAGGTAACCCATTTGGTGCAAGGAGAGAGGATTCTTCTGGGGGGCAAGGCTGAGACCACCGTGAAGTTATAGGGGTCTGGGCAGGACTTTGTAGTGTAAAATCCCAGGCTGCTTCACGGTGAGATACTGCAGAGGCTTTGTTTTCCTCAGGCCTCTCTCTCACATTCACAGGCTAATTTCTAATTTCCTACCTAACAGTTTCAAGGTAGGGCCACAGAGAGAGGGAGAGGCCCAGTGGGCTGCTAGCTGATCTGAAGCCAGGAGCCAGGAGCTTCTTCTGGGTCACCCACATGAGTGCAGGGACCCAAGCACTTGGGCCATCTTCTACTGCCTTCCCAGGCCATAGCGGAGAACTGGATTGGAAGAGGAGCAGCTGGGACTCGAACCAGCACCCATATGGGATGCTGGTGCCACAGGTGGAGGCTTAGCCCACTGTGCCACACACCGGCCCCACCCAGGGCCCTTTTGAGACTCCCTTCACCCTCATGCTGAGAGCCTGCCCAGGAGCGGGCTCCCTCCCCTCAGGTGTCTGTGGGTGCCTGTCTCCCATGGCCCTGTCCCGAAGATGCAAACGTTTCTTTTGGAATCACTGTGGGTCAGGTCCTGGGAAACCAGGAGAGGTGCCCTGTAGACGTGGGCCATGGGGGCTGCTGCAGGGCAGAAGCAGCGCAGGTGAGGTGTTCCAGGAGGACTGTGGGGTCTGATGTCGAGCCAGTCCTCAGCTGGGTTGGGGAGGGGCGTGGCTGGGCCTCAGGGAGGGTCAGAAAGGGGTCAAGCCCGACCCTGGGAAGGGGACATGTCTAGATGTCTCCCCAGGGGCTTGACTGGCAGTGACTGGCAGTAGGAGTGCAGGGTCAGGGTCAGGGGGTACACGTCCTAGGTGACAGTGGGACAGGCAGCTCTACTTGGTGTGGTGGTGGCGAAGGTTCCAGGGAAGAGCCAGGGTGCACTGGGTGAAGTTTCTCCATTCAACTTCTGTCTCTCGTCAGGTTCCTGGGGGAGGCCAAGGTCCCGCTGCGGGAGGTCCTCGCCACACCCAGCCTGTCCGCCAGCTTCAATGCCCCGCTCTTGGACGCCAAGCAGCAGCCCACGGGGGTAAGTGCCTGGTGGCCCTGCTCTGTGGCCTGGCCTGGTGGCTCCCTCTCAACGCCTGGCCTTTTGGATGCCAGAGCTGTGTCAGACTCCAGCTCTCAGGGGCCAGGCCTCTCCTTCCCTGACAGAGCTCGGGGGGCCAGGAGGGACACTGGACTGGGAGAGGTGGGAGGGGCGAGGGAAGCCCTGGCCTCACATCAGCTCGGCCTGCCCTGGGTCTCGCTCACCTGCCTAGGCCAAGCTACGCAGTCGCTCTGTGGCTTCCCCAGGCTCCCCAGCAGAACTCCGTCCTCACCGGACAGTACACTCTCTGAGTCACCTGGGTCACAGATCACAAGGGAAGGGGGACAGACAGCCCACTCCCCTGCTCCCAGGACCTGCTGGACCCCCTTCCGTTTCCTGCATTGTCCTGCCTGCCCCAGCCCCCAGCTTCCCAGGGCTCTCCCAGGTCAGGCAGACAATTCCTGGCCTCATCTCTGGCTCCTGTTATTTTTAGTGAGCTAAATATAGCCCTCAGGGCTCATTCTTCCTGGTCCCTGAGATTCGTGACCTTCCCTCTGGGTCAGCCCCACCTCCCAGGATGCCCCGGGAACCATTGATCTGGAAGTCACTTCCTGCTGACGAGACCTGGGGATTCTGGATCCTGAGTCATCTGTGATAGGATGGAGCTGCAGAGTCCTATGGTGTGTGTGTGTGTGTGTGTGTGGACACTGGGGCCCTTGGTGGCCTGGGTGGGCGAGTGAGGAAGTGACCAGTCTGGACCAAGCTCAATGGAACCTCACTGAGCATTGAGACCCAGGGAAAAGAGGACTGCACAGTGACTTGGTGAACAGGGACGTGCCCCAGAGCGCATCTCCTGAACTGCCCGCGGCGGAAGGGACTGGAACGGACTCCTGGCTCGCTGCACTCCGGTCTGACTTGCTCCCAAGGTCACTGAGGCCTGTGACACTGCGTTGCTTCCTGGATAGGGAGAGGCCACTTCCTAGGAGAACCCTCCCCCCCCTCCCCCTTTCAGACCAGGCCTGCTGGTAGAACATTCTGGTTCAGTGCCGTGTCCACTGAGCCCGTCCTCCCTTGGAGCCCTTCCATCTGCTCACACTGCCCAGAGCCAAGGACTTCCTGGGCCTCTGGAGCTACCCCTCCCGGGATCCCGGCCAGGTCCAAACCCAGCCGGACAGGCACGGAGCACTCATGGAGCAATTCTAGACCTCAAGGCAGCTGGTGAGGGAGGCACTCTGGGTCGGCCGTTCCGCTGCTGCTCTCCCCTGCATCTCAGGAGGGGGCCGCCTACTTCACTGTGCACTGGGCCCAGAGTGTCCAACCACCGGGAACAGAGACTGGCAGTGAGCTAGGGCCACACTCTGATGAGTCCCTGGGCTTTCTTCTGGCGTCGCGAACGTCCACAGCCAGCCGCGCCCCAGCTTCTGCGGGGCCTGTGGGAAGAGCAAGGCAGGCCCAGGCACACCAGGCCTTGCCTGCCCACTGCTCAGTGTGTGTCAGAGGGAGGGGCAGGAGCTGGTCTAGGGCTTGGTCTTGCAGAGCTCAGAGATGGACATCTCCATGCAGACAGCCTGTGAGAAAAAGGAGCTGGGCAGAGGACCCCAGCACCCGGCCTGGGAGAGTCTGCCTGGTGGCCTGTGGTTTCCTGAGCCCTCTGAGTGTGGAGGGCAGGCAGGAACCCGGGTTCTGTGGATCTTGTTGACGGTGGACCCCAAGCTGACATATATGGGTGGCGGAGGCTACACCATCCGGGGGTGCCATGTTTTGGACATGTGATTGATGTGGCCGTGTGGTGTGGTAACCTACAGTGATGCTATGGCTCAAGACCCGGGGAGTGGGCTCTCGGGTGGGGCCCTTGCTGTGGAGGGTCCCATTAGGGGCCTGAGCCAGAGAGTGTGTGGTCTGGGAATGCACAGGGCTCACACTCATGCTGTAGGAGGGGAACCTCAATTCTAGTTGTCAGGAGAAGGGGACTGGGGTTGTGTGTGTGTGTGTGTGTGTGTGTGTGTGTGTGTATTTAAACATTTATTTATTTGAAAAGCAGAGTTACAGAGACAGAGAGATCTTCCCTCCACTGGTTCACTCCCCAGATGGCCACAATGGCTGGGGCTGAGCCAGGCTGAAGCCAGGAGCCAAGAACTTCATCTGGATCTCCCATGTGGGTGCAGGGGCCCAAGCACTTGGGCCATCCCCTGCTGCTTTCCCAGGTGCATTAGCAGGGAGTTGGATTGGAAATGGAGGAACTGGGACTCAAACCAGCGCCCATATGGGATGCCACCAGCACAAGTGGCAGCTTTACTTGCTCGGCCACAGCGCCGGCCCTGAGGGGCTGAGTTTTGCTGTCATGGTGAAGCTAGGGCATCCCGACCCTGGTGGGAACCATGGGCAAGTCCCGTATCCCTATAGATCCTTGGTGAGGATCTATAACAAAGATTCATTTATTTACTTGAAAGGCAGAGTTAGAGAGGGAGGGAGGGAGGGAGGGAGGGAGGGAGAGAGGGAGAGAGAGAGAGAGATCTTCCTTCTACTGGTTCACTCCCCAAATGGCCTCAATAGCCCAGGGCTGGACCAGGCCAAAGCCAGGAGCCTGGAACTTCATGCAGGTCTCCCACACAAGTGGCAAGGGCCCAAGCACTCGGGCCATCCTCCACTGCTTTCCTAGGCACATTAGCAGGGAGCTGGATCAGAAGAGCTGCAGCCAGGACTGGAAGCAGCACTCATATGGGATGTGGTGTCACAGGCGGTGGCTTAACCCACTGTACCACAACGCTGGCCCCTGTATTTTATTTTTACTTATTTATTTTGCTTGTTATTTTTGGTCAGTCTCTTCTGCCAAGACATTAGCGTCACGGGAACACGGCCTTTGTTTTGTTCATAGAATTATCCCCAGTGTCATGAACGGTAGTTGGCCCTAGCAGGTGCCGGATGTGTAAATGTGATTGTGAAGGGCTCAGGAGCGGTGTGTGTGTGTGTGTGTGTGTGTGTGTGAGGCCAGACACATCTGGCAGGCTCCCAGTCCTTCACTGTCACCTGCCCGCAAAACCAGGACCCCCACAGGCTGGCCCTTGGGCTGTCGCCACGCTCGGCTTTATCCTCTGCTGTTGCCATCTTGAACTTAACAGTTTCTGAATAAGGGACTCCTATTTTCTTTTTGGCACTGGGCTGTGAGTTTCATAGTGGGTCCTAACTGTGTCCAGCTCCTGGACCCTGCGTGAGGGCTTCGTTTGTCTCCACTAGGCAAGATTCTTACGGTTACAGCAGAAGCAGGTTTCTCAGATTTTTAAAACCTTTTGTTGGGGCTGGTGCTGTGGTGCAGTGGGTTAAAGCCCATGCCCACAGTGTCAGCATCCCATGTGGGCACTGGTTTGAGTCCCGGCTACTCCACTTCTGATCCAGCTCTCTGCTATGGCCTGGGAAAGCAGCAGAAGATGGCCCAAGTCCTTGGGCCCCTGCACCTGTGTGGGAGACCTGGAAGAAGTTCCTGGCTCCTGGTTTTGGATCAGTTTAGCTCTGGCTGTTGCAGCCATTTGGGGAGTGAACCAGCAGATGGAAGACTTTTCTCTCTCTCTCTGGCTCTACCCCTCTCTGTAACTTCAAATAAGTAAAAATAAAATCTTAAAAAAAAAACCTTTTATATGTGTAATTTAAGATTTAGAGAAAATTCGCCAAGAATGGTATGAAGAGTATTCTGTCCTATACCATTGGGACCAAGTTGCCAACCCCCTGGTCCATCTTCCCAGGTGTTGGGTGTATTTCTCTGAGTAAGGACATCCCCTTACAGATGCACAGTCCTCCAAACGAGGAGATGGCCACTGATGCAGTATCTTTTTTTTTTTTTAAAAACATTTTATTTATTTATTTGAAAGGTAGAGTTATAGACAGAGAGAGGGGGAGAGAGAGAGAGAGAGAGAGAGAGAGAGGTCTTCCATCTGCTGATTCACTCCTCAAATGACTGCAATGGCTGGAGCTTGGTTGATCCAAAGCCAGGAACCAGGAGCTTCTTCTGAGTCTCCCACGCAGGTACAGGAACCCAAGCACTTGGGCCGTCTTCTACTGCTTTCCCAGGCCATAGCTGAGAGCTGGATTGGAAGAGGAGCAATCAGGACATGAACCGGTGCCCACGTGGGATGCCAGTGCCACAGGCGGAGGCTTAGCCCACTACATCTGGGATGCAGTATATTCATCTGAGCCAGGGACCTCTCCTGGCTGTCTGCTGTTTCAACAATGTCTTTGCAGCGAAAGGAGCCAGCAAAGGATCGTGTGTTGTGTTTAGCTGCTTTGGCTCTTTAATGTTCCTGTGCCTGGGCTAATTTCCCAGTCTTCCCTTGACTTTTATGGCCTTGTGGCCGTGGTGCTTCTGGAAGCACAGACCAGTTATTTTGTAGAATGGCCCTCAACATGGGTTGTCTGGTGTTTCCTTGGAACTAGATGTAGGCTGTGCATTGTTGGTGAGAATGTGACACAGGTGATGACATCTGTGTACCCTGTCCAGTGGTGAGACTTGGAGTGGCTTCCTTGCTTCACTGTCACCCTCATCATTTGATTGAACTAGCACTTACTGGATGTGCACCAATCATTCCTCTGCTCCCCTTTCCAGCAAGGAGAAATTCCATGGGAATTCTTCACATCTGAAAGATCCTGTTCCTAACCCACTGTTGACTAGGAGTTGTAACATCTATTTTTTTTTATGGTTAAATTGATTATTTTTAAAAGATTTATCTATTTAATTGAAAGAGTGAGCATACAGAGAGAAGGAAAGGCAGAGAGAGAGAGAGAGAGAGGTCTTCCATCCGCTGGTTCACTCTCCAGTTGGCTGCAATGGCCAGAGCTGTGCTGATCCGAAGCCAGGAGCCAGGAGCTTCTTCCTGGTCTCCCACATGGGTGCAGGGACCCAAGGACTTGGGTCATCTTCCACTGCTTTCCCAGGCCACAACAGAGAGCTGGATTGGAAGTGGAGCAGCCGGGACTTGACCTGGCGCCCATATGGGATGCTGGCACTGCAGGTGACTACTTTACCCGCTCTGCTACAGTGCCAGCCCCAAATTGATTATTTTGACAGCTGCTAATTGGTGATATTATAAATGAGTTATTTTTCACACTAATCAGTTTGCATTCCACCCCAAAGAGAAACTGTCTCTTCTTGTCTCCTTCATATCTATCTATCCATCTATCAGCCATCTATTTATATCTAATCTATCACTTAATCCATCTACAAATCATCTACCTATATACTTGCCCATTAATTTATTATTCATTATCAATCACATTTCTCTCCATCTACCATCTATCATATATCTCATTTTTCCATCTACCAATTATCTATCCATTAATTTATTATTCATCTGTCTCTCATCTATCAATCATATATCTCTCCGTCTACCATCTACCTATCATCCGTCTCAATATGGATCATGCATTTCTGTTTTATTCAGTGATTAACCTGTTACTATTGTTATTTTGTTATTCGTCTTGTGCTCAACATTTCCTGATTTGGCCGGTGGAGCCCCTGAGAGCTGATGTGTATGTTCTTTTCATTAAGCACTTCTTTGCTTTCTGTCCCAAAGAAATAGCTCAGGCTCATCTTGTATTTCCCCTGCCCTAGCCCTGGATTTAGTTATTTCTCCAGAGAGCCTAACTTGCCTTGGAGTGGAGAGACCTACCCAGGCTCCCTGAGCCGGCGTCTGCAGGAGCAGGGGCAGCCCCTTGGGGGTTCTGCGGAGGCTGGGCATTTCCCGCCTGGGTTTGCTGCACGAGTGGCGACACCTGGTGGTGGCTGAGAACCCTACAGGGCTGGTTGTGGCCCTGGCTTGGATCTGGGGCTTACTGGATCCTGGTTGCTTCCGGTCCTTTCTCAGGGTTCTGAGCCCTGTTGTCCTGGCTCTGCCCTCGCTTAGCAGGCTGCCCCCGTCCAGGCACAGATCGGGAGGGCTGGAGCCTGAGAGCTGGATGCTTCCAAGGCCCGCAGGTTCTGCAGTGCAGGGACAGGGTTTGCTCCAGGGTCTCGGTGGCGACGCCCGGTGCGCATTGCTGGAGCACAGGGTGGAAGATGATGCGTGCTTGACTGTTGGTTGCCCAGACCCGCGGGGAGGGTGGCCTGACCTTCAAGCATGAAGCAAAAGACAAACAGGCAGCACAGCTGGGCGCTGTTTCTTTAAAAAGATTGGTAAGCGCAGGGGCCGGTGCTGAGGCGCAGCGGGTGAAAGCCCTGGCCTGAAGCACCGGCATCCTATATGGGCACCGGTTCTAGTCCCAGCTGCTCCTTTTCCGATCCAGCTCTCTGCTATGGCCTGGGAAAGCAGTAGAAGATGGCCCAGGTCCTTGGGCCCCTGCACCCACGTGGGAGACCCAGAAGAAGCTCCTGGCTTCGGATAAGCGCAGCTCTGGCTGTTGTGGCCATCTGGGGGAGGGAACCAGCGATGAAAGACCTCTTTCTTTCCCTCTGCCTCTCCTCTCTCTGTGTAACTATGACTTTCAAGTAAATAAATCTTAAAAAAAAAAAAAAGATTGGTAAGCATGACCCTAAAGTGTGAAGAGTGAGGGAATTCTGGGCCATTTTGCTTGATTTTGAATTATTTTTCTTTAACAAGGTTTTTGGACTCCCCAAGCTTTCTTAAGTACGTATTACTTATATTTAAAAGAAAGACAAAATGGCTCTCACAGGAGGCTTGCGGGGTTGCAGCAGGCCTGCTGGCCCAGGAAGGCCAGGCTAGGGAGCTGCTGGCCTGCGCCTTCTCCCTGGGGCTCAGGGTGGGGGTGGGGTGAAAGCTGGGCACCTTCCCCCTGCACCTGAAGGGGGTGACCTGGCACGGACCTCTTGGCTGGGGATGCTGCTATTCAGCAAGGGGACTCAGCAGGGTGAGGGATGTCAAGGCCTCCTCAGTGCTGCTTGGCCCCGTGCAGAGCAGAGCAAAGAAGCTGTCTGCAGACAGGCAGGGGAGGAAGAGCTCGGGCTAGGCAGAGGGGCCACTGGCCTTTGTGCTGGAGTCGGGCCTAGGCTGGGAGCGAAGAATCTTGCAGGAGGGAGTGGATCCCTGCTTTGTTTATAGGATGTGCTCCACCAGCTGACTTAGTTCTCACCCGGCCCTGTGAGGAAGGGGCCATGGCCACTGCTGTGCCCATTTTACAGGCAAGGACACTGAGGTATAGGGCGGTACCGCTCTTGCCCAGATCACAAGGCTCCTGGTGGTGGAGCCCCATCCCAGATTCTGTGCTCTTTACCAGCCGGCAGTGCTCATGGGCCCCTGGTGGGGGAGAAAGGGCTTTGCCACAGCCTTCTACAAACCCAAGCCTTGTCAGAGGCACAGTCCTCGCGGACAGGAAGGCTGCGGGGTGGCAGTGGCCAGAGCCAGTGTGCTCACCTGCTGCCCACCTCTGTGTCTTCCAGGCCTCGCTGGTCCTGCAGGTATCCTACACGCCGCTGCCTGGAGCTGTGCCCCTGTACCCGCCCGCCACGCCGCTGGACCCCACCCCAATCCTGCTGGACTCGGATGCACTGGCTGGTGAGGGGCCCAGCCCTGGCCACGCAGGAGGGCGCTCTGGGGGGGAGTGAGGATGCCGGGCCGGACGCCCTGCCCTGCGTGGCTCCCGGCTGTGCTGTGCAGGGTCTGCCCCACGCCATCGCCGAGGCCTCGCCCCAGAGTCCAGTGCTTCTCTGTCCCCACGCCCAGCAGGGCCTTAGTGACGCAAGAGTTAGTGTTCCGAGAGAGAGGGAGAGAGAGAGAGCGAGAGAGCGAGCCCTGGGTTGAAGTTAGGGGACATGAGCTCTTGTCTTAGTTGACACTAAGTAGTCACTGTGTGACCTGGAGCCAGTCACTCTCCCTCTCTGGGCCCGTAAAGGCTCCATCATCTGTGAGTGAGCAGACGGAGTTCGCCGAGTCCTGTGCACGCCTCAGCTCTCTTTCTTTGCCTCTGCCTGGCCTGTTGAGCGAGGACCCCAGCGAGGGTGGCTGGCCTGCAGCAGTGGCCCCTGGGAGGGTGCAATGCCTCACGGGTTGGCTCCTGGACACCTGCCTGTGGCAGAGATTCTGGAGTTTCTCTGGTGGTCAAGGCAGCCGGGCACAATCACGGCAGATGTCTGGCCATGCCCTGAGCCCGTCCCCTGGGACCCAGCCCTGTGTGGGGGCTCAGTGGCGAGAGGGGCGGAGAGCACCGTCTTGGGGCCCAGCACCGTCCCAGCGTAGAGACCTGAGTTTGCTGAGCACTCGGGAACCTACACGACCGCAGGCTGCACAAGAGCTGGGCTGGATCCTGGGGATTGAGGGTGGGGAGGGCGGAGTCCCCAGTGCTCTGGGAACATACGGAGGTGGGTCTGGCAGGCCAGTCTGGGGACTCCCAGCCCTGCCTGCGAGGTGGCGAGAAGGGACAGTCCCCCGAGACCTGGCAGCCCTGTCTGAGCTTTGTGCCCAGCTGCCAAGGGTGGTGAGAGCCGGGATGGGTTTGGAGTACCCAGGTTGGCGCCCTCACCCCAGTTCTTCCCGTCCCTCCTGGGGCTGTGCCCTAACCACGTGGCAGGTGGGGGACAGAGCCGGGCCGAGACTTGGTCCCTGCTCAGTGACAGCACCGTGGACACGAGATACTCTGGAAAGAAGTGGCTGGCCCCCGCGGGTGAGACACGGGCTGGGGTGGTCCCAGCCCCACATCTTGCCACCTGTAACTGTCTTACTTGCTGTCACCGCCAGTTCACGGGGGTGGGGTGAGGGGGCCAGAGGGCTCACCCCGCAGGACGCAGGGGCTGGGGAGGGCTGGGGCCATTCTCTCTTCTTCCTGTTCACTAACGGACTGACTGCCCTCAAGTTTCAGCAGCTGGAAGCTCCCTGTATTTCTGCCTCATCCATCCTGGCCCCTGATGGAGAAGGGTGGGGACGAGGGAGATGGGTGCTGGGTTAGTGCCCGTGCCCTGTGGATCGCGGTGCACTGGGCTGGGTCCCACGGGCCCTGGGGCTCATTGTGTCCTGTCCTCCCAGACACAGGAGGAGAGGAAGACACGGAAGACCAGGGGCTCACGGGCGATGAGGCAGAGCCATTCCTAGACCCGAGCGGTGCTCCGGGCCCTGGGGCACCCCCCACCCCAAAGAAGCCGCCATCCCACCCTCCGCCCTACCACCCTGGGAGCAGGAGACCAAGAAGCGCGCCGGCCCCCAGAAAGCTGCTGTCGGACAAACCGCAGGACTTCCAGGTGATGACCAGGGTGCTGCCCTGATCCCGGCCCCTCCTGCAGCCCAGCAGCGGCTGCCAGTGCCGGCCGCCCCCTGACCTGCCCACCGCTCGGAAGGACGGGCCTGCGACCCTGAGGCACTGTGCTTCCCTGCAGCCCCGGCAGGGCTGAGCTGGCACTGTCGTCTCAGGACAAACCTCCACCCAGCCCCAAGGGTTTGCTTTTCACAAAAAAAGAAAAGTCCCAGCAGAGATTCTGGCCTTCTGTCCTCTGCTTTCCTGTCCGGGGTGAATCTCCCTGGCTACACAAAGTGTGGTCGCGGCCTCCTGAGAAATGTAGACTTTCTGGCCCCATCCAGACCTGCTGTATCAGGATCCACAATTGAAAACAATCTGTTTATTTTTATTTATTTGAAAGGCAGAGCGACAAAGACTGAGACTGAGAGAGAAAGCAAGAGTGCTTCCAACTGCTTGTTTACTCCCCAAATGCTCAAATGCTTGCAACAGCCATGTCTGGGTCTGGCCTAAGTCAGGAACCTGGAAGTCCATCCGGGTCTCCATGTGACTGGCAGGGATCTAACTACTTCAGCCATTAGCAGAAAGCTGAATAGGAAGTGGAGTAGTTGGGACTCAAGCCAGGCACCTCAATGTGGGGCATGGGTGTCCCAGCAGCGACAACCACTGTGCCCAACGCCTGCCTGATATTTAACTCGTTAGAATTCCTTTTAATGTTAAACACGGGAAACTTAAGTCCCTATTCATTAAGTGCAGCAAATCAGAAAAATATATCTCTGTTCTAGATTAAGGTATTTTAAGCGGAAGTCCTAGCTGTACCTGTTATAGCTGCCCCAGGAGACTGAATTTTATTTTCCACACCATCATTTCCCACACAGGTTGTTTTCTTTAAAAGTAATATATATTTATTTTTGTAATGCATTTTTTTTTTTTAACAGGCAGAGTGGACAGTGAGAGAGAGAGAGAGAGAGAGAGAGAGAGAGAAAGGTCTTCCTTTGCCGTTGGTTCACCCTCCAATGGCTGCCGCGGCCGGAGCGCTGTGGCCGGCGCATTGTGCCTATACGAAGGCAGGAGCCAGGAGCCAGGTGCTTCTCCTGGTCTCCCATGGGGTGCAGGGCCCAAGCACATGGGCCATCCTCTCTGCACTCCTGGGCCATAGCAGAGAGCTGGCCTGGAAGAGAGGCAACCGGGACAGAATCCGGCGCCCCGACCGGGACTAGAACCCGGTGTGCCGGCGCCGCTAGGTGGAGGATTAATTAGCCTAGTGAGCCGCGGCGCCGGCCCTTTGTAATGCATTTTTAATATTTTGCACGGCAAAATGAAGAGAATAGAAATCAGTCGTCCCCTTCGCAGCGTTGTTCCTCATAGCCTGCTGTCTTTGAAGCAATAGTTGGTTAATGAATGCATTCACTGATGAGGAGAACAGTAATGGTGTTATTTTCCTGTGAGAATTGCTGGGATGGTTTTGGGTTTCGTGTTTTAAAATTCATCACCTAGTAACAGGAAGCACAGACCTTGACGTCTTCATTGACTGGAAGTTCAGTGATGAAAATGCGCCCTCCTTCCCTCTCAGCGTGTGAGAAAGTATTGCATCTCCTAAAGATGGGCCCTCTCGCTTCGCGGCTGCCCTCTGAGGGGGTTGTCCTTAAGAATGCCCAAGGCTGGCACCGCCTGCGGCTCACTAGGCTAATCCTCTGCCTGCAGCGCTGGCACACCGTGCTCTAGTCCCGGTCAGGGTGCCGGATTCTGTCCTGGTTGCCCCTCTTCCAGGTCAGCTCTCTGCTGTGGCCAGGGAGTGCAGTGGAGGATGGCCTAAGTGCTTGGGCCCTGCACCGTCATGGGAGACCAGGAGAAGCACCTGGCTTCTGGCTTCGGATCAGTGCGGTGCGCTGGCCGCAGTGGCCATTGGAGGGTGAACCAACGGAAAAGAAAGACCTTCTTTCTCTCTGTCTCTCTCTCTCACTGTCCACTTTGCCTGTCCAAAAAAAAAAAAAAAAAAAAGAATGTCCAAGCCACTGCACGTGTCCGTGTCAGTGGCTTGTCATGTGGGGCTTATGCCAGTGGCTGCAGGAACTGAGCGCGGGAGGGAGGGACCCAGCCGCCCTGGGCTTCTCTGCGAGTCACTTCCCTGGAGCAGTCTGGCAGCCTTTCGCTGGAACTACAGAACACACAGACAGAAAGGACCCTGGCGGGAAACGTGATTGGCTCTTTCATGCTTTTCCTAATCCCTTTCGAAGCCAGCAGTGAGACTGTGCCCTCACTCCCATGAGGGAGTGGTGGGTGGTCCCTTCCTCCCTGCCCGCCCAACCCCTGACCTTCCTTTCGCTCATGTCCCTCCTGGCTTTCAGATCAGGGTCCAGGTGATCGAAGGACGCCAGCTGCCGGGGGTGAACATCAAGCCGGTGGTCAAGGTCACGGCTGCCGGGCAGACCAAGCGGACGCGAATTCACAAGGGGAACAGTCCTCTCTTTAACGAGGTGGGAGCCGCGGGGCGTTGGGGGCTAGGTGGGCCCTCCAGCTAATGGTGGCTTGAGATGTGCCTGGTCTTACGTTGGTTATCTAGGCACGGAGACAGGGCTGCAGCCCCGATTCCTGCCCTGGGCTCCTGCTGCTCCACGTCCCCAGGCACCTGCCCCTGAGGTGACAACCTCTGTGAGGTCAGGGCTGGACAGCCTGGAACTGGGCAGATTTTCTGAGCTCAGCGTTGGCCTGACTGCCGTCCTGGCAGCTCCTGGGTGGTGGTGGTTGACCCCCATCTCTCTGACCCATGGGCTGCAAGCGCTGAGTTTACCCCCACTCTGGCTCTCGTCCCACAGACTCTTTTCTTCAACGTGTTTGACTCTCCCGCAGAGCTGTTCAATGAGCCCATCTTCATCACAGTAAGTCCTTCTGCCGGCCATGTGCAGGCACATACGTGTCCGTGTACACATGGGCACATGCAGGGCTTTACGCGTGTGTGAGTGCATGTCCATGTGAGTGTGTGTGTGTGAAAGACCGGGGCTGCAGCCCTGTGCCTGGTGGGTGTGGAGCAAACCCCGGTAGGCTCTGTGGGTCACAGCCTGTCTGGCAGCTCCCCTGGGAGACCCCCCACTGCTCAGCATTCGCACGTGCCTCGGCTCAGGGTCCTGCAGCAGCTGCTTCGGTTTTCATTTTTTTTTTTCCGTTTGTCCACCTGCCTGTCTCTGGCCAAGGTTTTCTTTCTCTGGGCCTCAGCCATTCCTGCTCCTGGCCCCAAAAGGCAGTGCCACCTAGTTAGTGTGTGGGCTCTGGAGCTGGCCAGTCTGGACTCCTGTGTTGCCTGTGCCAAGTGGGGACTGTGCGATTCTGTACAAGTCCGGCAGTCGCTCTCTGCCTCTACTTCTGCACCTGTCAAGTGGGGGTGAGCCCGACGTTCCTGGGAGGGTCAAACCTGGCTGAGCGAGCCCTGAGGTCGGCCGCTGTGACTCGGGAGGGAAGATCTGGGGGCGGCCCTGTCTGGGCCTGTGACTGATCTGTCCGTGCAGGTGGTGGACTCCCGCTCCCTCAGGACAGATGCGCTCATCGGGGAGTTCCGGGTGAGTTTCTCCGCTGCGATGCGGGCCCTTCTCACCTCCCTGTGTTAGCTGCCGCTCTGGGGCGGTGGCAGGAAGCGGCTCTCAGAACAGCAGTATCTTGTCTGTGCTGGGAGTGTCCTTGCAACAACCCCCCCGCCCCGCCCAGTCTCCTCCCAGCCCAAAGAGCCTGGGCGCCAGGGGGTGGAGCAGTAACACTCAGGGGCAGGGTGGGCGAGGACACAGAGATGTCCCCGGACCACGGCCAGAAAGTGTTGTGCTGACTTTGCACAGGGAGCCAGATGACCCCGCTGCCCTCTGTCTCCGAGTGTTCTTTCAGGGACTCTCACCTTTTGCCCTGTGTGCTCAGCCCCTCAGTGCCAGGGGTCGAACCTTTGTTTCCTCTCTTTGCTTTCAGATGGACGTGGGCACCGTTTACAGAGAGCCCCGTGAGTTCTCACCGCCCTGGCCCTATCCTTGCATTTTGGTCCTGGAGGCTGCTTGAGGACATCCATTTGGGACCCTCGTTCTTGCTCCCTGGGGTGGGATTTAGGAGTTGGAGGTGGAGTTTGATTTTGGAAGAGAAAGCAGGTTTTCATCCTCCCCCTAAAACAGGCCCTCGGGAAGATCAGCCCCTCATCTGCGTCTCGGCCCATTCAGGGGTGATAATCTAGAAGGTTCCAGCAAGCGTTGCTGAGGCAGGGATGGGTCATTTGGGTGATGAGTTCAGGTTCCCACTCCAGTCTGGGCACTTCCTGGGTGGTGGGGAGGGGCTTCGGGCTTGGCTTTCGCACCTCTAACAGGTGTGACACCCACACAGATATAGCTCCCCAAGCCTAAGCTCTGCCCCGCCCATGCCTGGTAGATGAGTTCCCCCCACCCCCGCCCCGTGTGGTCCCTCTGGGCTCCTGAGTGTGGCTGCGGCCTTGGGGTCACCAGTGGACACTGTCTCTTTTAGGGCACGCCTATCTCAGGAAGTGGCTGCTGCTCTCCGACCCTGACGACTTCTCTGCTGGCGCCAGGGGCTACCTGAAAGCCAGCATGTGTGTGCTGGGACCAGGAGACGAAGCGCCCGTGAGTGCATTCCCCAGGATGCAGGCCCAAACTCGATACTTCCCCGATTTAAAAGAACACAGGGTAATCATGAGACATACAGAGCATGTGGGAAAGTATAAGTAACAAATGAATCACTCGTAATCCTCCCAGGTGGAGGGAGCCATTATTAACATCCTACTGCATACCCTTCCAGAAGGAATCCACGTGTAGTTTTCCGTTTTGCCAAAGTGAGGTGGTCTGTGTCAGTTGCCCAAGATTGTATGCGGCTCCTCTCACATGTCAGTAAGGACAGCTGTCAGCTGGCCATGGCCAGAATGAGAAAAGTGTCTCTGCATGTTTGCCAAGAGGAGGAAAGGCGGAGGTGTGTAGGACACTCAGAGCTAAATGAAGGGTTTCTGAGCAGACGCAGAGCGCCCTCTCTGGGTTGGAGATTTCGTTTGTGGTAGAGGCCCTTGCCTTAGAAGGCTCAGCAGCAGAAGGCAGAGAGAGGCTGGGGGCTGCTGGAGGCAGGTGGGGTCCAGGGCAGAGGTGAGAGGGGCGCAGGAGGATGGGCTGGGGGAGGGAGAACCCCGTGTGATGCAGTGGAAGAGGGAGACAAAGACTGGGAAAGGGCTGGGGAATGCGTGTGTAGTGAGCGCCTGCGGTGTCCCTGGCTCTAGGAGAGGCAGGAGGGTGCTGGGGGGTGAATGGGTGGGAAGCTGTCCCCGAGAAGGAGACTCAGCTGTCCAGGGTTGCTAGAGGATTGGTTCTGAGTGGCTGGAGGCTTGAGATGTGGCTGTGGCTCTAGCGAGAATGAGGAGATGTGTTGGTTAGCGGATCATCTACATGGGTGTTGGCAGGGATGCTGTGTTTTACGAGAGAATTGGAAATCAAACAGGCGAATTATGAAACAGGTGTCCGAAGGGAAGGGAAGGTGAGCAGGTGTCGAGGCTTGGTGGGTGCTAGCAAGGGGATGGAGGAGAGTGGTGTATGTGTGTGTGAGCATGTGGGCTTCAGAGAGGAAAGATGGCGGAGTGCTGGTGGAGCATGGGGGCAGCTGGGAGAGAGCTAGGGGCTGGGTTCTCCTCTCGCTGTGATGGTCAGGAGGAGGAGGAGAATCAGGGGGCAGCATGGGACACTAGGGAGCGGATTGCAAGGGTGGATTGTCCCGGGGGAAGCCAAGTTCCAAGGGCAAGTCAAGGGGGACGGCCACGTAGGAAGCCGCAGTGGAAAGGGTGCGGGGCGGGGGTGCCCGGGGCTGTGCAGGGGCCCGGGGCGCCTGTCCCTGCCTCTCACCCGCAGAGTCCAGCCCTGTCCCTCTGTAGCCCGTCTCTCCAGACGGCTCCCCTGCTTGTTGATTTCATGTGGCATCTCTGAGCCCATTTTTCTAAAACACTGCTTCCTCTTTCTTGCATCCTTGCGTTTCCTGCACGGAGCCATTTCCCTTGAAGCGGCCCAGGGGGAGCCCCTATTTTCTGTGCCTGCCTCCACTGGGGGCCGAGCCAGGAGGCGCAGCCGCCCTGGGTTTCCTCCGCAGCTGTGGGGCACTGCAGCCCCTCCCGACGGCCGCGCCACCTCCTCCTCTGGAGACTGCTTTACGCTTCCACTCCCCTGGGCCGGTACCCACCTGGGCGCAGGCAGACTCAGGAGGGGCCTCGCCTGCACATTCTGCGTCTCCTCCCCGATCTTGGCCGTTCTTCTGCGTCCTGAGGTCCAGGAAGGTCCTCGACAGCTGTCCTGATTTCTTCTAAGAACCTGAGGTGGGAAATGGCTCCCTCCTACCCGGCCCCCGGCCCTTGCTGAATGACTTCCTCCCCAGGTTATAGCCCCTGGCCCCCCGGGCTTTCTCTTCCTTTCTGCCACCTGATGGCCCAGCTGGACCCCATCCTTGATTGTGATTCTTGTTGTGTGCCCTGGGTCCCCCCATACCTCCTGTCCCCATTCTTCTTACCACACGGTGTCCTTGGTCCATTTTGGTGGCAAAAGTCACCTGGAGGTGGGTCTGGGGGTCTGTTTCCCGACCTCAGCAGGGCCCCGGATGCTGTCAGCATCCTCCCCTTATCCTACTGTCCGCCTGGCTGTCTCCTCTCCTGAGCCCCAGGTGCAGCTGCCCTGGGAGGGACACAGCTGCACCACAGTGAGGTCCTGAAGCGCCCCTGGTCCCCAGTTCGTTGCCTGTCTTCAAAAGAAAGATGCCTCAAGTCTTAGGCGTTACGGGAGAGAGACTTGGCTTTCTGTGTCTCGGAAGTGCCTGGGCAGGTGGGCCAGCCTTGGCCTGGTGCTTCTGCAGTGCCTGGAGACCCAGGCTCCTGGTCTTTGTGCCACCATCTTCATCATGCAGCTCCTGTCTCGTGGCCAGCAAGGTCATGCACTTCCCCTGCTTGCGCCTGCACTCCAGCCAGTGGAGAGGGAGAAGAGGAAGGAGGCCCATGTCTTCCTTGTAAGGCACCACCCCGGAGCTGTCCATGTCTGTGCGCAGGCTCCACTGGCCAGGCTTAGTCACGTGGCCGCACCCGACTGCTGGAGGGCCTGGGAAATCAGGTGCATCCTAACAGCAGCCTGCCCCGCTAAGAGTGGGAGGTTCTTCAGAGGAAACAAGCCATAATGGATTTGGCGGCAGAACGAACCAATCCTGCCACTTCCTCCTCCATGTCCTCCGAGTCCTCCGAGCTACCTCTTCTGTCCCGTGTGCCTCTTTAGCCAGTCCCACGGCAGCACCAAGGCCATCTTGTTTGAACCCAGATAGAGTCACACGCGTCTCCTCTTTAGCAGCCTCCAGGGACAGCCCCTTTGCCTTCAGGATCAAGTGCAGAGTCCTTAGTGTGGCACTGCAGGCCCTTGACAATTCCGTCTCCATCTGCTTCCCCAGTCTCTCTGCCCACGATGTCCCCCACAGACCCTGTGCTGCCACACCAGGTGCTGTGACCCTCCCGGGACCCCCCCTGCCCTTTCATCCATTGGAAGGCTTTCCCTCTCTTGCCTAGGCCCAGCTCAGATGCTGCTTCCTCCAGGAAGCCTGCCCTGTCCTCCAGGGTCTCCCCTTGGGGCCACACTCAGCCCTCTGTTGGTCTCATTAGGTGATAAGTCTAACTCCACACCCGAGATTCAGTTTCTTCATGGTGCGGACAATACAGCAACTATGACCTCTTCTGTCTCCCCTCTTGCCTCGGGCAGGTTTTATACACAGTAGGTGCTCAATCAGTGCTTGTTGTCTAGTGTGGCAAGGCTGGGCTGCGAGGCATATGCTGGCTTACACTCTACTGGCCCTTCCACGCCTGCCTGCCCGCCCAGGCGCTGTTCTCCAGATCTGCTGTCTTCTGCAAGGGCCTCTGCCTGAGCTGCCTCCCCTGCTTGGTGCTCGCCACCCAGGCCTGAAGCCGGAAGGCCTTTCTGAGCACCAGTGCCCCCTTCCGTCCTCCCGAGAGACCTAATAACAAGTCCTCTGCCCCGTGCTCTCCCAGCATGTAGGTTGTGCTTCTAACCTGAGCGAAGCCTCATCCTTCTCATCCCTAAAATGGGAACATGCTAGGGCCTTGCACCCGGAGTGTAACCTGGGGACCAGCAGCATGGGCATCCCTTGGAGGCCCTACCTCAGAACTGCTGAACTCGAACCTCCGTTTGAATTGGCATGTACGGATGGTCTGGAAGACACAGACTCTCGCCCCATGTTGCACATTGGCATCACCTAGGAAGCCTTAAAGCCACGGAGGTGTAGCTCTTCTCCCCCAGAATTCTGCTGTGGCCCGGGCTCCCCAGGTGTTGCTGATGTGCAGCCAGCTGTTCCGGGGGAAGCTGGAGAATTGCATGAGACCGTGCAGGACACTGGGTGACTGCTGGGTTGTGTTATCCCTGTCCTCGTCATCATAGGCAGCTCACGCTCTTGCCTTCGTTTGCTCAAAAGGTCCTGTTTTCCTTGCAAGATGGTGAGTTCCACTGTGGGCAGGCCCTCCCACCCCCCGTGCCTTATTCATCCCAGCGACCCTTGCCCTTCAGGGCCACGGTCACGACTTGGCAAATACTTGTTGAGTGAATGGGCAGATGTTGCTGAAGACAGAGTGGCCAGCTCAGATCTCCGAGATATCGTGGGTTTCGTCCCAGACCATGGCGGGGAAGCGAGGTGCAGGAATTGCTTTCAGTTTACCAGTGCATGTCATGTTTTGCTCACCATCTACTGTGGCCTGTGAAGTGCTGTGTCCAAAAACACACACCTTCTTAAAAAGACTTGATTGCTACAAAATGCCAGTGGTCATCTGAGCAGTTGGGAAAATAGACTTGCTCTGTGCAGGGTTGACCTTAGCCTTCAATTTGTAAAACAGACAACATGTGTGAGGCACAGTAAGTGGAGCCAGGTAAAAGTAGGTGCAGCCATGATGTGTTTTTGACTGGCAGTAGTAGGAGGGAGACTGAGGTGGGCTGGAGGCCTGCGTGGGCCACGTGCAGTTACGTGGCTGTTAAAGACGCCTCCCCAGCAGTCGGGGACAGAGATTGGTATTATTACTGTCTCCACAAGGAAGCAAGTTCTTGGCCGAGTACCTTGCCTGAGGTCAAGTGGCAGCCAGGGGAGAGCACGCTGTGTCCAACAGCACATTAAGGAATCCCATTTGGTTTACTTTGTAGCTGGAGAGAAAAGACCCCTCTGAAGACAAGGAGGACATTGAAGGCAACCTGCTGCGGCCCACAGGCGTGGCCCTGCGAGGAGCCCACTTCTGCCTGAAGGTCTTCCGGGCCGAGGACCTGCCGCAGAGTGAGTGTGACACCCTGGGCAGAGGCCCGCCCCTGCGAGGGTGGACCACGGGCAGCACCGAGGCCTCCAGTTTGTGGGACCCTGGGTCCTTGCTCAGCCTCCCTCTCCCCTGACCCTCCATCCGTTCTGCCTTTGGCCTGGCTTCCTCACCTGAGGGTCTGTTGGAGGCTGGGACCGACCACACAGCGTGGGCATGCCCCAAGCCGTCTCTGGGTTTCCCCTGGGCTGCTTCTGCTCTTAATAGCTGAAAAGCAACCAGAATTTAACGGAAAGTCGATGCTAGTGGAGTCCGCAGGATGCAGGAACTCTCCAGTGTTGCCTGGGCCTCTTCAGCCGCTGTGTGGACCCGCTTTCCCGCTCTCACAGGGAGCCTGCAGCACTGGAGGCGCTCAGCTCCCAGGGCTGGGTCTCGCTGCTTTCTTCCCTCTGCGAGCAAGCCCTGCAGGCTGGGGAGCAGCAGCTCTGATGTTGGAAGGGCCTGCCTGAAGGGCTCCTGGGGCTCCTTTTCTGCACAGGTCGACACCCATCCAACAGGTGATGCACCTGCCGTGTGCCTGGGACTGAGAAGACCCTGTTCCAGGAAACCTTTTGTCCCTGTAGACTAGGACAGTGGGTCACCCTACTGGTGACATCCCCACCCCCACCCCTCCCAAGAAGGCCGCAGTGGCCACTGCCTGGTTTTGCATCGTGACTAGCCAAACGAGACCCTTGTGCTTAGTGAATCCTGGACTGGGGTCGGGGGTTTACTAAATATTCTAGGTGGCCGGCTGTCAGGCCACACATTGCAGTCCCCTAGGCCCCGCCTCCAGCCTTTCAGATTGACTTGGGTGGGTAGGGCTCAGCCTGAATGTTAAAGCCTCCAGGTGATTCTGTGAGGGCCCCTCCTGAGCTGCTGTTTTAAAACCCTTCTTAGCATAAACAAGCCCGCCACTGTCCACGTCCTTGCCAGAACGCTTGTGACAGTGTCCCTGTCTAGCTTTTCAGGAAGCTGGTCACTTGAGGGCGTCCGCAGTGGCGCTGCTGTCCACAGTGAGGTGGGCTCTTTCTTACAAGCTTACTTGGACCAAAATCGGGGTGGGGTCGGGGGGAACCTTCACACACGGATTGGGTAGTAAACAGCTATTCAAGTTTGTGCTTGAAAATGCCCTGTGTTTATTGATTACAACTGTGTAGAAGAGAGGCTGGCGCTCTCCCAGAGGGCCGTGGGGAGATACAAGTACCAGCTCCTCCTTAGGAGAAGGAACTTTGCGTTTTATTCTCTGCAATATTATTTAAATATAAATAAAAACAAAATAGTTGGGTGAACAGAACTGAAGTATTTGCCACTTGTTAGCTATTATGTTCATGTCAACATCAGCGGGCACAGAATCCTTAACTGTCCCCCTCCTGTCTCGCATCTGTGTAAACATAACACAAGGGCGCCTACAAACACCTGTCCCTATGCAGTTATATGTAAATAATGGGCTGATTCAGTAAAGTAATTGGTCTGGAGCAGCACAGACTAGAAACTTTGTTTACAAAACAGAATTGACTTGTTGGTTAATCTTAAGGAAGCCACTGAGCTCATGGCTACAGAGGAACCTGTGGGCCAGGCCTCCGTAATGAGGCATTATCACAACCTCTGGCCCTGCCTGGGTCGTTCCCTGCGCTCAGCAGTGCAGGCTTCCAGTCGGTCAACCGGAGGGCCTTTCTGAGAGGCTCCGAGCAGAGTGAACGGAAGAGCAAGCCGCCTGCGGGCCGGGGAAGGAAGCTGCCGGTGCGGTGCTCGGGCTGCTGGGCTGAGCCCGCATAGGAGGGGAGCCGCTGAGGGCACGGCTGGGGTTCGGAGATGGCACAGCAGGCAGGCAGTGACTGGCGTCTCCTCCCCAGTGGACGACGCCGTGCTGGACAACGTGAAGCAGATCTTCGGCTTTGACAGTAACAAGAAGAACTTGGTGGACCCCTTCATGGAGATCAGCTTTGCAGGGAAAATGGTAAGGAGTGAGGGGTGGGAGGGGATGGCCGGGGGCCCCCAGGGACGGGTGTCAGGCTCGCCCCCACCCCCGGCAGGGACACATGTGCCCACGCTGATCCGTGTACATGCATGGGATACGCCATCAGGCCTGTGCTCTGGGGCTGCCATGCACATGAGCGTGGGTAGATCAGCCTGAGGTGCCCTGACACGGCCATGCAGTGACTCGGAGGGGACAGACACCCACAGTGAGCAGATGGAGGGATATTCAGGGAAAACTGAGGAGTCGCATGGAAGCCAGTTGTGAAGGCATAAAGAAAGGAACACTCCCCTCACATAGTATGATTAAACACATGATGATGATGATTTTAAACATTTATTGTTTATTTCAAAGGCAAAAGAAAGGTTGTTCATCCACTGGTTCATTCCCCAAATGTCTGCAATGGCCAGGACTTGGCCAGGCCTAAGGCCCGGAGCCTGGAACTTGATCCAGGTTTCCCATGTGGGTGTCAGGGACCCCAGTACCTGCTGCCTCCCAGGGTGTGCATTGAAGTGAAGCTGGAATCGGAAGCAGTGCCAGGACTTAAACCCAAGCACTGCAATATGCGGGTGTCCCAAGTGGCATCTTCACCACTGTGCCAAATGCCTGTCCCACAGTGATGGGGTTTTGAGAAGCTGTGGCAGGAGTTGGGCCGAGAAGGACCGTTCTAGCAGGCCCCCTCGGGGTCGCTCACTGGGACAGCCCCCTCTTCCTGAGAGCCCAGCTTCTGCCCCAGCCCCTCTGCATGCAGGCGGGAGCCCCCAGCATCTGTGTCTGCCCCATGGGCTCTCCCAGGCTGTGGCCATCGCCTCTCTGCCAAGGACTCCCCGCAGCTCACCTTAGCCTTGACCCCTCCCTTTGACCCCAGCCCTCTGAGCAGCCCCACCTACGGCCTCTCTGCCTCTGAAGGAGTCCTTTTCCCTGCCTCAGCTGCCCTTCTTCCCCAGGAGTCCCCATCAGAGGCTGCCTTGACCCCTCCCTCTCTCCCTCCCCACATCAAACGTTCGAAGGCCCATGCCTCCCCTCTGAGCCCACGCAACACCCGCCCCTCCCCCAGCCTCCATTTTTCTCTCTCCTTGGCATCACGCTTTTGAAGAGTTCAGCCTACTTGTCCAAGTGCTGCTCTTTTCTGAGTGTTTCCTTCTGGTGGTGTTTTTTTTTTTTTTTTTTTTTTCCTCAGGCTTCTGTATTTCTTATACTCTGGAATTCAGGGCTAGAGACTTGATTAGATTCAGGTGAAGGATTTGGGTAAGAATGTATAACACATGTGCAGCTGGTGTTGTGGCGTGGCTGGTTAAGCAGCTGCCTGTGACACCAGCATCCTATATGAGCCAGGTTCAAGTCCTGGCTGCTCCACTTCCAGTTTGGCTCCCTGTTGGTGTGACTGCGAAGGCAGTGGAAGGTGGCCCAAGTGCTTGAGTCCCTGAACCCATGTAGGAGACCCAGATGGAGTTCCAGGCTCCTGGCTGTCGGAGCCATTTAGGGAGTGAACCAGCAGATGGATCTGTCTCTGTGTCGGTTTATCTGTCTCCCTTCTCTGTCTCCTCTCTCAAAACAAAAAGGAAAGGCAGAGTTACAAGGACGCAGCACAGGCGAGGTTCTGCGTGTGATACTGCAGCTGACAGGAAGCACTCCAGTCAGGCGCCAGGCGGTCCCGTCACTGGCGACAGTCATCTGCGCAGCTGGCCAAGGCGCTGTCCCCAGATCCCTGCCCGGGGAGCGTCCACCCCGTTGTAACGAGCAGGAAACCTGTGGGAGACGCCTGGCACAGTGTAGATACCCTGCTTCTCAGGAACCTCTTGCCTAGTCAGCCCTCCTCGCCCGAATCAGTCATTTACTTGGAGATACAAAATGGTGATTTTTTTTTTTCCTCACCATCATTCCTTCTCTCTTGAGTAGCTGGCATTTTTCTTAAGAGCTTGGTCCCCCTCTGAGTAGTCCTCGGGACCTCAGTTTCTATCAGTGTAGTGCATCAAGATCGGTCATTGTGTGTGTGATGTCAGGATCGTCTTGTAGCTGACCGGCTCCTCTGTCCTGAGCACATGGTCTAGTGCGGGAGTTGAAGCTCACTCCTGCTAGGTGTAAATGCTCCTGGCAGACCCTCACCCAAGTGTACGTTTGGGTTGGGTCAGGGTCGATGCCCTGTTCCTGGCCTCGGGAGGGGCCAGGCAGGATGCATGTGGACACGAAGCAGTGGGTTGGGCAGTTCCTGGTCTGAGGACAGAGGTCGATGTTCCCAGTGGGCAGGTAGGGGAAGCCAGGTCCTGAGGTTGGTCTCATTCCTCATTCCCAGCCCGTCAGGACGCTCTGATGGTGGCTGGACCGCAGGCCGACTTCCTTCACGGTCACTGCTTCCTTGGTGGGAAGTCTCAGAGCCATGGGGGCCCTGCTGCTCCCCCGGGGCTCTGGCCAGCACCTTTGGGATCCCTGGGTCCTCTCGGTGCTCTGGGCTGGCCCCAGGTGTTTTCCCAGGAAGCTGTTTAGGGAGGGACCTAGGAGAGTAAAAGGATTGGACATAGCTGACTGGCAGCTGACATCAAGCCAGAAGCCCCACCCCCCCGTGGTCCCTCTCCAAGGTGGTGGAGGGTAGTTGAAGAATGAGTTGGTAGTGAAGGCGCAGCTGAACCCTCCCCCCTGGTGGCTTCAGCCTGGTCAGCTTCCTCTATTGGTGTGTGGGCCCTGCCCTGAGCCACCTCCCTGCGCCACCTCATCTGCATCCACCCCAGCCTGATCGTCTGCCTTTCCTCTTGTGGACACTTGGTGGTGCTGTTATCCTAGATGTCAACTGTACTTGGTGTGGCTGAGCTCCTAAGGAACTGGGAGGGTGTATGGGTGCACGTGCACAAACTTCAAGTTATTGGGGAAGATAAGGGAAGGTTCTTGTTGAACAGGGCAGGAGGTATGCACACTTTTTCAGAGTTCTATAAAAAACCCATTGACTGTAAAAAAAATTCTTTTTCTTTGAACAAAAGGAAAAAGCCTCATGATATTTCTGTATCCCACACCATCTCGGAGACAACTGTGAACAGTTATTAACACTCATGTATATTTGCTTCAAGAATGTCTTCTCTATCCCTGACATTCCCCCAGCTCTCCTTTCCCCATCCCCTGAAAAAAAAAATTGGATTCCGAATACAGTTGATCTTCGTTATCCCCAGACTTGGTGTTTGGAGTGTGCCTGCTTGGTCAGATTTGTTTGTATTTTGTGAGTCTGCACTGGCGTCACTCTCCTGGTCGTCTGTGGGCACATGCAGAGTGGGGGGTGAGCTGAGTGCCCTGCCGGGCGTGTTGCCTGGCGAGATGATACCCTGCCTCCTTGCCTCAGATCTTGTGCTGCGAGTAAGTGTCCTTTTCTCTGTCTATTTAGTGCCTCATTTTTCTAATGTTTGTGCCTCTTTGTGGTGACTTCTCTGCTTAAAATGTATCGCAGGCATAGTGCTGAGGTGTCTGATGTTTGTAGGCACCGTGGGGAGAGAACAGGTGTGTGTGTGTGTGTGTGTGGTCCGGGTGTGAGTCACAGTGCTGCTGGCAGGTCCCGGGTTCATGGACAACTCTACGTAATCAAGCTGCCCCTCGACAGAAGCCGATAGAGTGAGGCTGGGCATTGATAAGTTGGCAAAAGTGTCGTGGCGGAGGCTGGCAGGAATTCAGCCCTTTGTTTTGCAGGCACAGTGACTTGGCATCCACTAAGTCAGCCCTCACAGTAACTATAGATCACAGCTCCCATGAGTAGTGGGAATCGACTCTGTGCCGTTTGGTAAATGCCTCTGTTGTCTAGTATTTTCTTAGGTTATTTAGAGGTTGTTTTTAAAATTTGGATTAAAATGTAATACTTGCACATTTTGAGGGGTATTATGGGATATTTTTATATATTCACAGCATAGGTCAACTCTACCAGCCTTTCTGTTTCCTTATCTTTTCTTTGTGTTTGGAGCCAACCTGCTCTTCTGTTCTAGTTTGTTATATAGAATGTAATACATCAATTGGAGCCATAGGCACCCCCTGTGCTGCCAAATGCTGGAATGTGCAAGTCTCTACCACATAAATGTGTATGTGTGTTCAAGACTTCACTTCCACACGAGAGAGAACGTGTGGTCTATGAGCCATCTGCTGGCTCATTTCTCTTAATAAAATCTTCTCTAGTTCCATCCGCTTTGCTGCAAATGGCAGGACTTCCTTTTTTATTGTTTGGATAATGTTCCATCGTCTGTATACACTGCATTTTCTTTTTATCTGTTCATTGATGGATACATAGGCTGACTGTCTCTTGGATGTTGGGGACAATGCTGCAAAGAACATGGGAGTACAGGGATCTCTTCCTTCTGCTGAGCTCATTTTCTTTGGATAGGTACCCAGCAGTGGGATAGCTGGGTCATATGGTATGTCTGTTCTTTGTGTTTTACAGAATATTTATCATTTTATTTGAAAGGCGGAGCTTCCATCTGCTGGTTCACTCCCCTAGATGCCTGTAGGAGCCAGGGCTGGCCCAGGCCAAAGCCAGGAGCCTGGAACCCCATCCAGGTTTCTTCCAGGTGGTTGACTTAACCACCTGAGCCATCCCCTGGGGCCTCCCAGAGTAGCCGTTAGCAGGAAGCTGGGTCAGAAGTGGAGGAGCACTCTGATATGGGATGTGGGCCTTGTAACTGCTGCACTGAACACCTTCCCCTGGTTGGTTTGGTTGAGGAACTCCCATATTCTCCTCAATGACTGTACTAATTTGCATTCCTGCCAAGAGTCCCTTTGTCCGTATCCTGACCAGCTTTTTTCTCTTTATTTTGTCTGAGAATAGCCATTCCATTGGAGTAAGATGATACTTCATTGTGGTTTTGATTTGCATTTCCCTGATGGCTAATGATATTTGGCACTTTTTCATAGATTGGTTGGCCATTTGTATTTTTTTCTTTTTTTTAAGAAATAGATTTGTTTATATGAGAGGCAGAGTTGGAGAGGCACAGATTTTTCAATTTACTGGTTCACTCCCCAAATGGCTGCAATGGCTGGGGCTGGGCCAGGCTGGAGCCAGGAGTTTCTTCTAGGTCTCCCACATGGGTGCAGGGGCCCAAGTACTTGGGCCATCTGCTTTCCCAGGTCACTAGCAGAGAGCTGGATCAGAAGCGGAGCAGCCCAGACTCGAACTGGAACCCGTATGGGATGCCAGTCTGCAGGTGGTGGCTTAACCCACTGTGCCACAGTGCCAGCCCCCTTCCAGGCATATTTGTAGGGAGTTAGATAGGAAATGGAAGAGCCAGAACTCAGTATGGGGTGTGGACGTCCCAAGAAGTAGCTTACAATGCTGTGCTGTGATGCCAGCCTCTCCTCTCTTATTTTATTAATTTGGTCTCTCACTCTCTTTCAGTCTAGCTGAAGCCTTATACATTTTGTTAATTCTTAAAAATATTTTATTAACCCTTGGCTTTTCTTAGTTTCAATTTAGTTCTGATTTTTATTTCCTTCTGACTATGGGTTTAGTTTGTTCTTGTTTTTCCTATGTGCTTGAGATACATTGTTAGATTGTTTATTTGATACCTAACTTTTTTGATGTGGATTCTTATTGTCATAAATTTCCCTCTTAGCACTGTTTTTTCTATATCCCATAAATTTTGCTATGTTATGTTTCCATTGTTGTTAGTTCCAAGGAACTTTTTAATCCCCCCTTGCCCTTTTTAAAGATGTATTGATTTGAAAGGCAGAGAGACAGATCTTCCAACTGCTGTAACAGCTTGAGCTGGGCCAGGCTGAAGCCAGGAGCTGGGAATTCCAATCAAGGTCTCCCACATGGGTGGCAGGGACCCAAATCCTTGGCCCAGCATCCACTGCTTTCCGAGGCATGTCAGCAGGGAGCTGGATCAGAAGTGGGGCAGATGGGACTTGGACTGGCACTCGGACACAGACAGCTTGACTGACTGTGCTACAATGCTGGCCCCCTTTAGTTTGTTTTGAATATCATTTTTTGTAGTGGGCTTTATAGTTTCATACATTTTCATGGTATAACTCTTTTTCTTTGTTTATGTAGGACACACTTAGGCATCTTTTTAAAGTCTTGTCTGGTATTGATTCCTTGAGTGTTTTTCATGTCTTGTAAGGACTTTATTTCTCCTTAATTTCTGAGTGATAACTTCATGGTTTTCTTTCAGAACTTGGAATGTATTATTCCATTTCCTCCTGGCCTGTAAGATTTCTGAAGAAAAATTTGTTAATCTAATGGGAGTTTCCTTAAAAGTTACTGAGTGCTTCTCTCTTTCTCTCTCTAAAGATTTATCTGTTTAATTGAAAGGCAGAGTCACAGAGAGGGAGAGGCAGAGAAAGAGATCTGTCTGCTGGCTCACTCCCCAAATGGCTGCAACCACTGGAGCTGGGCTGATCTGAAGCCAGGAGCTTCTTCCAGGTCTCCCATACAGGTATAGGGATCCAAGGACTTGGGCCATCTTCCACTGATTTTCCAGGCCATAGTAGGGAGCTGGATCGGAAGTGGAGCAGCCAGCATTCAAACCAGTGCCCATAAGGGATGCCAGCACTGCAGATGGAGGATTTACCCGCTATGGCACAGTGCCAGCCCCAAGGGTGCGTTTCTCTTACAGATTTTAGAATTCTCTGTGCTGTGCTTCTGAGAATGGTGGAGATCTTTACTAGTCATGCCTGATGCCATGATCTCTTCTGGTCATTTGGGGTGCTAATGTCCACATTTTTCTCCATATGTGAAGTTTCCAACTATTTCATTGAATGGGTTTCTTTTTGTTTTGTTTTTGTTTTTGCCTTTATTCCTCTTTCCCTCAGGAATTTCCATGTGCCCCACAGATCACAGTTGCTGTCTTCATTCTCTTATTCTTTTTTCCCCCTCTTTTGTCTGACTGCTTGAAGTTCAGATGTTCTTTCTTTTGCTTGATCCAGTTTGGTTTGGTTCTTTTCAAGATCCTTCTTTGCTGAAATTCTCATCCATATCATGCATTAATTTCCCAGTTTTGTGCAAACCCTTGGACTGTGTGTGAGGGCTGCGAACCTGGGCTGGTGCCAAGGTACGTGGGGCATGCAGGCTCCAGGTTGCTGCCTGACATCACCTAGGTAGCACCGGGGCTGCCGGCAGGCAGATTCTCACACAATACTGAGGATGGTCCCGACGGCTTGCACAGCTTCCAGGAGCAGTGGGCAGACTGTACTGGGATCACAGGAACCCTGGCTGGGAGTCCTGGTGTGCATGGTCCCAGGGACAGCCAGGGACTTCCAGGGTGGCTGGGGGAGGATGACAACCTGTCCCTTGTGAGCTCCGTGGCTAGCTAGGTCTAGCTGGATCTGTGAAGTTACAGTTGTCTTGCTTACTTTTTTGTCTAGTGTAGTGGAAGTGGGTGGGTCTATTCAGGGGCCCCTGTCCTCTGGGGCAGCAAGTCCTTTTTCAGGATGGTGCCACCTGCCGCAGCCTGTGCTCTGGGGTCTGTGCTCTGGGGGAACTTGCTGTGGGTTCCTTCTCTGAATCACTGCCACTGTCTGCAAGCTCCCCAGGGAGCTCTCCTTACAGGAGTATGGACTTCTCCTGTAGCAAGGACTGCTCTCATTGGGCACCCGCACAGATGGGCTCTGCAGAGGCGTGCCCGTGTGCCCCCCTTTCCCCTGCAGTGCAGATCGCCCCTGCACCCAGTCACTGGGCCTACATCTCAGCTGTTGGCTGGCTTTGTTCCTCCCTGTCTGCTGCAGTCCCAGCAGGTTCCCTGCTGAGCTCTGGTGTTCCCCAGCATGTGTGTGTGTGTACAAACACACACACACACACATATATATACATATTATATATATACACATACATATTCGATGAAAATAAGAGATTGATTTTTTTCCACTTGGAATTCACTTCCCAGATGCCTGTAACAACCAAGCCTGGGACAGGCCAAAGCAGGGAGATTGGAACTCAGTCCAGGGTTCATGTCCATGGGTGACATGAGGGTGGCAGAAATGCATGTTGCTACCAGAAAAGCTGGATTGGAAGTGGAGTGGCCAGAATCACTTCCTCCTTTGCAAAGAAGACCACTGCAGTTAATGTGTATCATTTTTCACTACACACATGCAAGCAATTATGGCTATAGATTCTCTTTTACCCTTTTAACACAAATGGTTGCATAGTATACTCACTCTGTATCTTATTATTTCTACTTGATAATAGAACTTAGAGATTGCTTCATATCTGTGTGCAGAGTGATCCTCATTCTTCTTTAAAGCTGCAGAGAATTCCACTGTGTGACTGGATCACCATTTGTCTAACTTTTGTCTATTGTTGGACCCCTGGTGGCTCTTTCTCTATTGTTGGATCCTTGCTAGTTCAAGCCATGCTGCACTGAATAACCTCACATGTAGGCCATCCTGCGCACGTATAGGTATTTCTGCAGGCGAAGTGTCTAGAGAGAAGCAGTAGGTCTAAGGGAATGTGCATTGTCAATGACTAGTGGTTGTTTGTCTCCTGGAGGGTCAAACTATTTTTCCTACTAGTGAAATACCAAAGTTCCTACTTCCAATGGCCTCGCTGACAATGAGTTGTCGGACTTTAGAGAATTTTATGAATCTACTTTATAAGGAATGGTCTCCCATTAGTTTTACTTGTGTTTCATTTATTGACTGAGGTTGAGCATCATTTTATATGCTTCACACCCTGTCGTGTCTCCATCCCATGAATACTCTGTTCTAGTCTTTGCCATTGCTCCAAGGGGTGATTGATCTTTCTCTCCTTTCCTCTTCACGTTGCGAGCACAAGAGCCAAATCCTGGCACCTGGCCCTGGCCCCAGGTACATGCACTTTTGCCTGTGCTCCTTTTCTACAGCAGTGGGGGCAGGGGCCAGCACTGGGTGGGTGGGGATGGGCCTGAGATTCCTGAAGTAAGTCGTTTAACACACATGAAGTACTTAGCATGGTGCGAGGTCCACAGCAAATGCTCTGAAAAAGCTGTTACTGTTTTGTGAGGAACATGAAACCCACCAGGATCCATATATCTGAAACGTGGCCTTTCCCTGCCACCCCATGTGTGGATCCTGGGGCCCCCTCCCCCCAACTCCAAGGGCAGTGTTGGCCCATGAGTCACTGCCTTAGGTCTGGTTTCCACTCCTGCTGGGTCATTTGTTTGTGAGAAGCCCAGTGTTTAGGGCAGTGCTGGTCTGAGACAGTCTGTGCTTATGGGGTTTGCATCTTCACTGAATTCTCTTTGACTCTCAGATGCAGGTGTGTGGCCTGGCCCTCTGTTCTCCCCTTCCCTGTCTCTGATCTCCTGAGGTCTGAGGTCTGGGCCTTTGGGAAAGCCAGTCAGGCCCCAGGCCGCTGCTTAGGGTCACAGCCACAGTGGGGGTTGGAGCCAGGAACATCCAGCCAGAGCTGTGCTTTCAGGGCAGAAGGCCTCAGGTGTTTGGACAACTCTCCCCAGCCCTGCTCGCCCCTTGGCCCTGGGTCCGACCTTCCATTGAGCGTTGTCTCTGCTGTGCCCCAGCCTACTGCATGGGGCTCCCAGGCCCTAGCTGTAAGGGCAACCAGCATGGCAGAGTGGCCACTGGCTGGTTTGGATGTTCCTGAGGGAGCCCAGAGACCCCCAAGAGCCTCCATCCCCCGTCCTCTGCGCCTCCTAGCTCTGCAGCAAGATCCTGGAGAAGACAGCCAACCCTCAGTGGAACCAGAGCATCACGCTGCCTGCCATGGTGAGCCTTGCCCTGCCCCTGCCCTGCCCCCACCCCAGGAGGCCCTGAGGCGCTGGGCTTTGCAAGGTTTAGGGTTGCCTGGCTCCCCAGCACCCCACCTATGTCCTGGACTCCTGCTTAGAGGAGGGGGTGCTGCCTTTGTTGAAAGGGCTCTGCTGTAACTCGCTTCTCTTCCCTCAGTTTCCCTCCATGTGTGAGAAAATGAGGATTCGCGTCATGGACTGGTGAGTCATGTGTCCAGGGGTCTTCCGAGGGGCTGGCTTGCTCAGTGTGGTTCTTCTCAGTCTGCTGGTGGTGAGAGGAGGCTTCAGAGGAGGTGGGGCTGAGGAGATGGTTCCTAGGAGGCTTGCTCACTGCCCTGCGCTAGGAGGTAGGGTCTGTGCTAAAGGCAGGTGGGGAGTGCGTGGTCCGGTGGGCTCGTGAGGAATCCATCTCTGAAGCTGGGAGGGGCTGGGCAGGCTTCCTGGAGGAGGTTGGGGCGAGTAGAGGATTGGAGGCCCATGGAAGGAGGCTGCAAGGAGCAGAGCTTCTGGGAGTGTGGCTATGCTTGCCCTGGGGCTGGTAAGGGGACATACGGGTCCCCAGTCTGGGGAGATCTACCAGCCTGCCCAAGTAGGGGACAGCAGGTGAGGAAGATGGCCTATTAGAAACATAATGGTAGCTAACACCTGCCGAGCAGCACTGCGTGCCAGGCCCCGTGTACAGCAAGCTCTTTACGAGTACGAACACATCTGACCCGAGACGCGGGGGCCTGATGCTACTGCTCCACGGAGGTGGAAGTGGCTCAGGAGAGAGGAAGTGACTGGGTGGTGGCTGAAGGGCTTTCCAGACCAGACTTGAACCCAGGCCTATGGCTCTGAAAGCTGTGCTCATATCTGCTGCGTGGGGTGTCTCTCTGCCACCCTTGGTGTTGGGGGGTGTTAGGGGTCCACAGTGCGATCCTCAGGCACCAGGCATTCCAGAAAGCGACGCTGTCCTTTCTCTGCCCCCGAAGAGTCTTGGCCGTGCAGTTCCCCAGCGTGTTCTCCTTTGGGCCCAGGCCCGTGGCACCCCCAGCCAGGAGGATAATGAGAGACGAGGGAAAAACCCCCAGACCACAGAGCCAGCAAAGTGTGTGCCAGTTCCCCAGGCCTAAAGCAAACAGCTTGTGAGAATTAGGAGGGAAGGGCGCAGCCAGGAGGCCAGCGCGGGGGAGGCTCGAGGGCCATGACCACGGCTCTGTGCCGCGGGGAAGCGGTTTTGGGGGGAAGGGGGGGCAGGATGGACTTGCTGTCCCTGGGACGATCTCCTCGTGGCAGCTTGTGGCGTGCGTGTGGTGTGGCCTGGGGGCGCTCGGCCATGCGTGCCTGTGCACGTGGACGCGTGTGGGTACGATTGGCCTGTGTGTTGCGGTTGTGCCTGGCGCAAGTCTCTGTGAGCCGTGGCAGAGGCACGGGCATACTGTACAATCCAAACACATTACGGAATCTGGGGGCTGCGTCTGGGGTTTGGGTTGAAGTGGTGTTTTTATTGTGAGTCTATTTTCAGACTTGCTGTATTTTCCAAAAGCAACCCCAAGCCCCAAAAACCCAGCTTGTGGCTAGAGAGCATGCTGTCATCGTGTGCTCCTGTGCAGAGGAGCCCTCTCTCCAAAAAGCCCAGGTGCACTCGTGTTGTCACCTGGGCCCCCGGGACGCCACTGGATGCCATCTGATCCACAGGGCCTTTCCCTGTAACTTCATCTCCGCTTAATTCTTTAGCAAAATTCCTCTTTCCCTGGAAGACAGACAGACAGAATCCCCAAACCATCCCTCCCCCCACAGAAACAAAACCTCTGCCTTCCCGTTCTCCCGGCTTCCCTCTGATTCAGAGAAGGTCAGAGGTCAGAACCAGCCGTGGTTTTTCCCCTATGGATTGGACGTGAAGGCAGGGTGAACATGCCAGCATCTATCTGGTGTCTGGGGTTGATCACCTCATTGTGAGATGTTCCTGGGAATTTTTACTTTCCAGTTCTTAACTAACATTGTTCCCTAGGACACAAGATGAAGATCTGAGCTGACGATTCACTTTTTGTAGCCCCTGTCCTAAAAGAAAACTTTTTTTTAAAAAAAGACTTATTTATATTAAAAGAGTTACAGCAACAGAGTGAGCTTCCCGTCTGCTGGTTCACTCACCAGGTGGCCACAGTGGCCAGCCCTAGACCAGGCTGAAGCCAGGAACTTCATGTAGGTCTCCCACGTGGGTGCAGGGGCCCAAACACTTGGGCCATTTTCCGCTCCTTTTCCTAGGCCATTAGCAGGGAGCTGGATGGGAACCGGAGCAGCCAGGACTCGAACCGATGTCCATATGGGGTGCTTGCATGACAGGCAGTGGTGTTACCTGCTACACCACAGCACGGAGCCCCTGAAGGAAAGCTTTAAAATCTAAGCTTAATCACTTCTCTGAGTCTCTGAGAAAAGAGGAAGTGAGGGAGCAGAACAGGTTAGGGTAACTCTTGGGTTAGGATTTAGAAGAATCAAGTCCCCATGCCCAGGCGTGATGTTTCCGGGGGGCTGAGTGCACTAGTACCTGAGGCTGCCTGTGGCCAGGTGTTCCGAGCAGGGGGAGAGTAGGGAGAGGGCCTCACGGGAGTTGAGCAGAGGGAAAGGCACCCGAGAACCTTCCCCGTCTGAAATCGGGGCTCACTGCAGTTCCTACCTGATGGAGCTGATGTGAGGATTAAGCCAGCTGTCACTTGACGTGAGTTTCAGGGTCCTGCTTGGCTCTTAGTAGGCACTCGGTGAATAGTCACTGTTGCCGTTGTTGGAGGAGGCAGCTGTGTGGGTATGGGGGGGGGGGGGTTCTGCCTGAGACGCTGCTGGCCGGTGGGTTAACCTGGCAGTTGGTCTCCTTGGGCTCCTGCCCATCGTCCTCTGGGCTGGTTAGGGAGGGGAAGCAAGATAGGCCGTGTTGTGCCCTGGGGCTGTGGTGCAAGTGTGGGATTCCGCACACCAGGGCTTCAGGCCCCAGCTCTGCACCTCCCCCGGTGGCTGGGCCCGGGCAGGGACCTTAACAGCTTGGAGCCTCAGTGTCCTCAACAGAGACGATGGGGAGAGAAAAGTGCTTTTTTCTTAAGGCAGCATGAGAGCCTTTTCTAGGTAAAAGTAGGTGAAGAGTACTTTGTCACGGTCAAGCCAGACACAGAAAGCGAGTGTGCGTTTGCTCAGTTGAAGACCTTGGCCTTGGAGGTGGTTTCTCCTTGGTTGTGAGGTTTTCCCCTTGATGTGGGTATGGCTTCAGCTCCTGGCCTTGGTTCTCCCCAGGACTGGGAATCTGGCTCCCCTGCCCTTGCCGCCTGCCTCTGGGTGCCTGCCCGACCTCCTGCAGCTGTGCTCACAGGCCTGCGTCAGTGGCCCACTGCTGGTTGGCTGGTGGGATGCTCGGGGTTGGTGAGAGGCAACAGGGGGTCGTGAGCAAGCTTTCTGCCGGTCTCTCTCATCTCTGGGGTTAGCAGGCCTTGGTAGTGCACCCGAAGTGTGATGCCGAGGCCACTTCCTTCCTGGGTGGGCTGTGGCCTGTGGTTCCTGTCCGTGTTCAGGCCCCCTCTGCCCCCTTGCTCTAGGGACCGCCTCACTCACAATGACATCGTGGCCACCACCTACCTGAGTATGTCGAAGGTCTCTGCGCCTGGAGGAGAAATTGAAGGTATGTTCCACGGTTCCACCCCCGAGCCCTGTGCTGTCTTTTGTCCAGCCTCCATCTGCCTCGCCCCTCTGAAGAGGGGAGACCATTTCCATGGGTAAAGGCCCTCCCTCGGGAGGCGGGATACCCGTTGAGCGGCTGTAAGAGCTTAATTCTCTCCTTTGGGTAACGCTGGTGGCCATGGCCACGCCGTCCCCTGAGTTTCATGTTCAGCGACCAAGCTCTAGAAGTTTTTATTTTGAAACTGACTTTGTTGGCCTATTAAAAAGTAATCCATTGCTGTTTTATAAAATTTTCAATAATGTGAAAATAGAATACGTAATTTACTCATGAAGTTACCCCATGCCCATTCCTTCAGACAAGAATGTACATGAGCCCTTTCTTTATACACATGTGTACGTGTGTGTATATACAGGCACGCATGTGCACATGTGGGGCTATGTACACACATATACGTTAAAAACAAATTATTCAGGCTGACGCCGCAGCTCACTTGGCTAATCCTCTGCCTGCAGTGCCGGCACCCTGGGTTCTAGTCCCGGTTGGGGCGCCGGATTCTGTCCCGGTTGCTCCTCTTCCAGTCCAGCTCTCTGCTGTGACCCGGGAGTGCAGTGGAGGATGGCCCAAGTGCTTGGGCCCTGCACCCGCATGGGAGACCAGGAGGAAGCACCTGGCTCCTGGCTTCAGATCAGCGCAGTGCTCCGGCTGCAGCACGCCGGCTGTTGTGGCCATTTGGGGGGTGAACCAACGGAAAGGAAGACCTTTCTCTCTCTCTCTCTCACTGTCTAACTCTGCCTGTCAAAAAAAAAAAATTATTCTGAAAGTTGCTTTCTGCCCCTTGACAATGTAACATAGATATAATTTCACGTTATTAAATATGCTTCTTCTATACAACTAGTTAATGGTGAAAATGTACGTATTTCTTTTTTTTTAAAAAGATTTATTTATTTATTTGAAAGTCAGAATTACACAGAGAGAGGAGAGGCAGAGAAAGAGAGAGGTCTTCCATCCTCTGGTTCACTCCCCAGTTGGCCACATCAGCCAGAGCTGCACAGATCCGAAGCCAGGAGCTTCTTCTGGGTCTCCCATGCGGGTGCAGGGGCCCAAGGACTTGGGCCATCTTCTACTGCTTTCCCAGGCCACAGCAGAGAGCTGGATCGGAAGAGGAGCAGCTGGGACTAGAATCAGCACCCATATGGGATGCTGGTGCTTCAGGCCAGGGCGTTAACCTGCTGCACCACAGCTCAGGCCCCTGCATATATTCTAATTTTTCTACATCATGAACAACTTACTTTGCAATGAATGTTTTTGTAGCTAGTTCTTTGTGCAATTCAGGGATAAATATTTGAAATTATCATGTCAAAGGACTTTAACATTTTTAAAGCTTACAGTCTACATTGAAACTACCCTTGAAAAGGCTAGACTAATCTCCAATCCCTAATCGTTCATGAGCTTATTTTGCTGCATCTTTTTAAACACAGGGTAAAATAATAATATTGAAAAAATGTTAATTTGAGTGAAGATAGTACCTCCTATTGCCTTAATTTTCACTTCATTGATACCTTGTGAAGTTGACCAATGCAAATTTGAAAATACTTTAATCATGAAAAATCACAAATAAATAGTTTCATATTCATTAATAAGCATATATGCTATGGTACATACATTCTGTAAAATCATATACTATATATTATAAATTCCCAGTTGTGCTCTTGGTCCAAATTTCTTCTGGTATGTCTGTCTGTCATTGTTTTGTGAGAGTTCTGTATGTATATGGCTATTAACCTTTGCCCTGTCATATGTGTGGTAAATCATTTTTGCCAGTTTTATCTTACCAAACAGTAGTTTTTGACTTACAGATATTTAACATTTGTACACAGACAAGTCTCTCAATCTTTTGTTTGGTGAATAAGGCAGGGATTTAACTTCACTCTGAAGCATTGTTCTTTGGTATAAACAATGCTATGTTTTGAGTAATCTTTTCCCTATGTTTTGAAATGCCACCTTTATCACCCACCAAGTTTCTCAATGTGTTCTTGGGTCTGTTTTCTTGAAATTTTTTTCCTATTATTTTCAATTGGTATGTGTGCTTATTATTTCTCTGGTTTTGGTATCTGGGTTATGCTGGCTCTGTAAAATTAATTGGAAAGATTTAAAGTCTTCGCTAACATCTGGAACAGTTTATATAGCATAAGAATATAGTCTTGTGAGGGTTTGAAATAATTCACCCATAAAACCAACTGGGCTGGGTGCCCTTCTTCAGTGGGTGTAGTAATAGTGCCTCAGAAACCTTCCAGTTTCTTCGGTGCTCCTTGTTAGTTTTAGTTTGTTACTTTTGTTCTAGTCAATTTTGTTAATTTGAATTTTCCTAGCATCCATTACATTGAGGTCTTTTTATTTATATAGTGTCCTGCAAAGCTTCCTTTTAGGAGTTAAACAATTCTTTCTATCTGCCATGTTTTCCTAATTCTTAGTTCTATTATGTTTTCTTTTTTCTTAAGCTTGCTAATTTAAAAAAAAAAACTTATTTGACTTTTCATTGTATGTTTTAACTCTTTATTTTAAAAGTTAACTCATTAGAGGAAGAGGGAGAAGCAGGGGAGAGAGAGATCTGCTGGTGTAACTGTTGGGTCGCTCCCCCAGAAGCCTGCAAGGGCCCTTGGCTGAGGCTGAACCGGGAGCTGGGAACATGACGCAGGTCTCCACTGGTGCAAGGAACTCGACTCCTTGAGGCAGCACCTGCTGCCTGCCAGGGCGTGCGTTAGCAGGAAGCTGGAACTAAAATGGAGCCGGGGCTTGAACCTCTGTGCTCTGCTCAGGGCTGCAGGCATCCTGCCTAAGCGTCCACTCATGGACTTCCTTCCTTTCTAAACTTTCCAACACCTTGCGTTTACTTTCAGAATGCCTTATTTAAATGATACCATAAGGGTTCTGCTTCATATGTCATGCTTAAAAGGTCTTCAGCTAACCAAGGTTATATTCAACACTATTTTTCATTTTTGTTTTCACATTTGACTGTTTACCCTGTTTTGAATTTATTGGTGTGTTTTCTGAGTGCGGTTTGATTTTTATTTTTTGTAGGTAGCCTATGTTTTTCTTCTGACTAGATGCTGCTTGTAGGAATTTGTCCTTTTCCTTCTAGCTGAGAAAATGACTCTATCCATCGCTCACAGGGCTCTCTTTCACTGAGCTATGTGTGAGGCACGGCGAGTTCTTAAATCCGAATTGAAGAATAATTAAAGAGAAATTCGAATGTGTTGCTGTGACCGGCTGAAGGCCGGCTGGGCAGCAGTGGCAGGACGTGCTGTAGTCCCGGCCGGCCAGCCTGCGGCCCCATTGGCTCTGCTGCTTTGTAACCAGTGGTTTGCCCCAGTCCCCTTGTGTCCAGTGAGGCTCTGGGGCGTCCCGACCCCGTGAGGTGGTTGTGGGGATGGAATGAAATGATAAATTCACTCACCCCCAAGTCACGCTACCTATGTGTTAGCTCGGTAACTAGCTTGCTGCATCATGAATTTGATTTTTTCCCCCTGTACCGTGTGGTTGAAAATTGGTGATTGCTCGTTAGTTTCTTCTCAAGGCTTCGCTCCCCTCTGTTGCTCCTCCTGCCATGTCTGCTCCCTCCCAGAAGGGGGCCTGGGTCCACCAAGGCCTTCTCTTCACTCCCTCGAGGCTTCCAAATCGGTTCCTGAAAAATTCACATGGGTGCCCTCCTGAATGGCGCGGATGCTGCCTCTGCATCGTGGAGGGTGCTCTGCGGCCCCCTCTGAGATCTGTTGGGTGTTGGCCGGGTCTCTGTCCTCGCAGCTCCTTAGGTCTGCAGCAGGGGCACAGGGGCGTGCTCCTGGCAGACTCCACCTGGTGCTCTTGAAATTAGTATCTTCTCCAATCCCTTCTTTCAGGTTCTCTGAAACAAACAAACAAACAAACAAAAAAGCCCACCCTTTTAATTTAGGAAACTCCAAATCCAGTGAGGTGGAGTTTTCCAGTGAATTCCCAAAAGTACCCTCAACTCAAACTGCCACACCTAGCTGCCCTCTGCCATTCTGATTCCATTGCTGAGACTTTGCACTGGTGCCATACGCAGAAATGGCCTTCCAGACGGCACTGCCCTTGGGGCGCCCCTGCTCCGCCCCTCCCACCTGGGAACTGCCCGTTCCAGCTTGCAGTGCCTGTGGGGATGCTCTTCCTAGGGTTTCCGACAAGGCTGTCCTGTGTGGTGGTAGGATGTAGGGGACAGGGCGGGGGGGAATACAGAGGGCGTGGTGGCCACCTCACCATCACAGTTCTTGGTAAGGAAGGAACTGACTGGTCCCCATCTCAGAATTGAGGGGCCGAATGGGACGTTTATGTTTTCCGACACCTGCTGTTTCACGAGGCTCCCACTGTGTCTGCCCATAGCCCCCTGATAGGGAGTGTGGACCCCCCAAGAACCCCTCCTCATCAGGCTTCCCTGGTGGTCAGGTTAGCCTTTTCTCTTTGTGTCACTGGAAGTGGTTGGGGGGGAGGGATGAAGATGGTTACTGGCCACTAGATGGCGCTCAGGTCACGGGCATTCCCGTGTGTGTCCTGGAGGCAGTCAGAGGCAGGACCACATTTCCCGCAGATTGTTCTGGAAATCAGAATCTTCTCACAATCAGTTAACTGGTTTTGTCCAAGTTAAATAGCTTGAGCAAGAAGAGTCAAGAAGTTCATAGGTCAAGCGGCCACCCAGACTCTCCGGTGTCTGTCTGCAGAGGGGGCCTGAGCCTTTCTCCGGCCCCAGTGGCAGGCACTGGCCTTGCTCCCCGCCATGCTGCTCCCACTGCCGAGGCCCCCTCGGAACCTGCCGCTCCCACTCGCCCCTGGGCTCTGCCGTGTTTTGTCCCCATGCTGGGGTGTGTGGGGACCTACAACAGCCTCTTTCCTCATTGTCCTCAAAACTCAAGTGAAACTGAACTTGAACAAACCAGGGCTTTCTCTGCAGTCTCCCACCTCCCGGGTTTTTGGGCCCCACCTGCCATTTTTGCTTTGTGTGTTTCCAGCAAGGAGAAGAGCTGATACCAATCCAGGCGCACTCCTGCCCTCAGGTCTGCCTGGGCACAGTGCAGGGTTCCTGGGACCCTGTGCACCCGAGGACCAAGATTGGCTTGCCTTTTTTTTTTTTTTTCTTTAAAGGAGTGCTTTCCTTAGAAGCTGTCCTCCTTTCCAAAGGTAGTGGGCACAGGAGACCTGTGAAACCTGAGCAGATTCTTGGATAACTGTGTACTCATGAAACTCTCGCTCACAAGGAGCACTCATTCCCTTACAGTTTTTTCCATGGCTAAGAGCTCCAGAGTTGGTTTCTTTTTGTCTTTGGAAGGCAGATGATGACCGTTTCCCAGCAGGGCTCGGTGACTCCTCCTGTCTGGCGCGGGCTGGCTTTGGACGGCCAAATGCCATGGGCTTGGGGGCGTGCCGAGAGGAGCGAGCTGGCCGCAGGTAATGGCCTTGGCTTCTCCAGGAGACACGTGTGTCCCCGGGGACTGTCTGCAGGGCTGTGACCTGTGGCTGACTGGGCTGGGAGCCTCTGCCCTGTCTCCTTCAGCTTCCCCCAGGTGAGGGGGCTGCTCAGGCCACAAAACTGGGAGGATTTGTCTGCGTTTTGGGACTTCCACAACCCTGGTTTCCTGGGCTTGGGGAAAACACACCAAAACACTTGTGCTTGGCAGAAGGGTGATGAGGACTAAATAGAGGCTTTGTCTTGGGTGGCTGTGCTGGTCACTCTGCCCTTTACTTTACGAGCTGTCTGCAGACACAGGGGAGAGAACCTGGGCTGGGCCTCGGCACCCAGAGACCCGTAACCTGCCCCACGTTGGAACCCCCTGGCCTAAGATGACACCTGGGCCACGTGTGTGACTCCAGTCCCCATGCCCAGTTAAGCTTGTTGAATGAACAAATGAACAAACAAGAGCAAATGAAAAGGCGTGGTTGGGAGACAGGCTGCTATACCACCCTACTGCCAGACCCCTCCGGGCTGGATGCTGGTCAGATGCTGGTGGGACTGGGGTGGCACTCAGTCTGGGCTGGGCCCGTCTGCAGCCAGGCTTCGGAGTCGGGCTGTGGGTGGGAACCAAGGTTGCCTCTCTGAGAAGCTCACTGGGCTTAGAATTGTGACCTTGGCCTCATCAGCCTGAGGAAGCTGGTCGGGCCTGTTAGTAATCCTTTGGAGAGAGCTGGAAGCAGAGTTCTTGGCCTTCTGGTGGTCCCCGGCCATTCCTTTCCTTGAGGGTGGCAGCTGTGCCCATGTGGGTCCTCTGGCTTTTGCCAGAAGCAACCTGATAGCCAGATGCCTGGTTCCCTCACTCATGAAAATCTATCCCCATGGATGTGAGAATGGCCGTGAACTATGATTTCTGCAGCCCTGACTTCCGCTGGCCAGCAGTGGCTGCCGAGGCTGGCTGTGGAGAGCCGAGAGCTGGCCTGGGGCTGCACCCTCCTTGCTGCCTCTGCCCTCACTCGCCCGGCCCCATTCTCGTCTCCAATCTTCCGCATCCCCTTGTTCTCTCATCTCCACCCTCTCTCGGTGGCTCTGTTCATTCTTCCTTCACAGCGGTTCTGCTCAACTCTTGGCTCCCAACTGCAGTTATACAGCTATGGAAAAGAGCAACAGGGATTTTTTTCTTTTGGAGAAAGGTAGTAGGTAAAGGTGAACAATGAATAAAATAGCAAGTTCACCAACCATGTCTGCAGGCTTGGTCATGGTCTTGAACTTGGTTACCCTTTGATGACTGGAGGAGGGAGGGAAGGTCAGAGTGTGGAGGAGGCAGCCAGTGGAGGGAGAAGGAGAGTGCCTGCCCCTCGGAGCACCTTGTTCCTGCCCAGAACTGAAGAATGATTCCAGGAGCCCAGAGCACGCCGCAGCACTTCCTCCCTTCCGTCCTTATTTGTAGATAACCAGTACCGTATTTAAGGACATGGCTGCCATTTAGAGACTTCAGCTAATGGACAGTGCCCATCACTGCTTCACTGGAAGCAGCAGGTGTTAGAAGCAGGGTCCCAGCGCCTGTTGTGAAAACGCAACCTGGTGCCTCCACTGGCAGTACTGCAAATGAGCACTAGGTGGAGATGTTGTGCCTGGAAGTGCTGTTAGAGTTCTTGGTCCAAGTGTCCAAGGGGCCCACTGGGGTTGGAGCATGGGGTGTGCCTGGCTGCTCTGTGTCTTCCCTGTCCTTTCTTTGTGTCTGTGTGTTGTCTTCTCATGTACCTGGCTCCAGGAAGGAAGAGCCCATTTTTGTGTCACTCCTGAATATATCGAATCCCGTTCCGTCCACTCTGGCAGGCAGAACATGTTGCGATATACAGGTGGATGGTCGGGAAGGGCCCCCGGGGCTCCTCGTGGGGCTGCAGGCTGCACCTGGCTGGGACTGAGCTTGTGATAAGATCTCAGCTGGGCTGGGGGTGGGGCCCAGGCCACATCTGTTTCCCAGCGGGGAGCTCTCTCTCCAGCCGTCTGTCTGCATCCACACGCGCTGTTCACGTAACCATTCCTCCCATCCTAACCCATTCCCATTTCTTTACGCTTCAGAGGAGCCCGCAGGTGTGGTCAAGCCTCCACCAGCCACAGACCGTACGTTGCCGTTACCTTTGGAGCTGTGGGTGTTTGCTTGGTGGGGAGAGGGTGCTGGAGCCGGGGGAGTTTTGTGCTTGAGGTGGGATTGAGGTTTGCCGGCAGCCTCTGAGCTTACCAACCTGTGCTGTCACGGGTGCAAACCACTCGGAAGGCTTTGAGGGCAGTTTCTTCCCACCTTCCCTGACCCCTTTCAACCTGCTGGGCTTCGGCTGATGCTCTTGTCGGGAGGGCAGGGTGGGAGTGGCGATGCAAGGTGTCTGAGAGACCAGGAGGAAGTCAGGGGCCAGCAAGGGCAGAGGAGGATGGGATTGAAAATTCTGGAGGTTGAGATAAACAGGATGAGTCATGACCAAGGTGATCCACACAAATGGTGATCAGCGTGCGCTTCGCTTGGCCGTTCCTCCCTCTGTCCGCAGAACCAGAGCCCTGTCTGTGCTGGCGTTTGGAAGAGGGAGAGTGTGAACAATGCAGGGTGACCCCTGGCAATGGGACAGGCACAGTTCTGGCCTTCTGGTCCCTTCTGTCCCTCCCTCACCCCCAGGTTTTCAGCAGGGATGAGGCATTCGTTGCATGACCATAGCTCTGGCCCAAGCACTTTTGGCTGAGGCCACTGAACTTGGCCTTCCCTTGGTGTGTCCTTGGGTAGGTTGGGTCACCCAGGTGGCTCTTGCACCTGGCCCTACTTCCTACCTTTGGCATCCTTCTGGAAACATTCTCTCTCTCTCTCTCTCTCTCTCTCTCTCTCTCTCAAAGTTTATTTGCAAGGCAGAGCGACAGAAGGAGGGACAGAGATCCTCCATCCACTGGTTCACTCCCCCAGTGGCTGCAATGGCAGGGGCTGGGCCAGGCTGAAGCTGGGAGTCAGGAACTCCCACATCAATCTCCCACGTGGGTGACAGGGACTCAAGTACTTGGGGAGGAGTCTTCTGCTGCCTTCTTAGGCTGAATCAGAAGCAGAGCAGCCAGGACTTGAATCAGCTCTCTGATAAGTTAGCGTTGCAAACAGCAGCTTAATCCACTGCCCCACAACGCTGGCCCCCTTGAAATGTTCTCTTCCCCTTTCCTCCGAGACGGACACCTAGCTTTGTGGGGTTTTCTGAGTATGCCCAGTCAATCCCATCCCGGGAAACTTGGCTGTGTGTGTGTGTGTGTGTGTGTGTGTGTAAGTAAGGGATCTGAGGCTAAGTCGGGCCAGTGGACGTAGGGGCCTGAGCGGGGGGTTGTACTGTTTGGAAGGGACGTCCAGCCAGACCCCTCTCATATCCCCTGGCAGGTGGACACTCTGGTCACTGGGCCTGGGGACCTCCTTTGTGCCTCTCCACTGGCTGGAGGGGCTGGGTGCTGAGGAAGTGAGGATGGAGATGGTTGTAGGATCCCGGGGGCCTGAGCCCTAGCTTTGCTGCTGGCTGAGTGCGTGTGCTTGAGGCTGCACCGTTTAGGGTCCTGCTACTTTGCAGCTGTATGTTCCTTTGCATCTCTGAGCCTCAGCAATACAAATACCCCCGTGTCTCAGGATAAGGATCTGAGGGACTTAGGGGAGAGGGTGAGAACGCTCGCTGAGGTCATGGTCGTGCATATGCTTACAAGGGCTGCCTCTGGCACATGCTGGAGGAACAGGGGGCGGGGTTGAGCCCACCCCTCTGATCCCTGCTTGTGTCTTGCAGTGGATGACCATCTGGGCTTCCTCCCCACTTTTGGGCCCTGCTATGTCAATCTCTATGGCAGCCCCAGGGAGTTCACGGGCTTCCCAGACCCCTTCGTGGAGCTCAACATGGGCAAGGTGAGCCAGGGTGGGATGCCGGGTGCCTGGGGCCTGCACGTGGGCCCGTCCCTGAATGGTCTGGGCAGCACCTGGGCCTGGCATATGTTCCAGGGACCCGATGGGGCTGGCCCGGGGCCAGGCAGCCACCCCCCCAGAGCATCCTCCTCCTGCCCGGCCCAGCCCGGCCCAGCCCCTGCCCCTCCTCTGCCCCTCCTGTTCCCCTTGACCCTCCTTCTTCTGCAGGGCCAGTGTGGCTTCTCCTTGCTCAGGCTCTGCTGGGCCATGCCTCACTCAGCTCCGGATGAGAGGGTTGGTGCAGGCACCTCCTGGGTTCCCTGAAGATGTGCGGCCTCAGGGCCACCTTGTGCCTTCCCTCCCGGCAGGGGGAAGGTGTGGCCTACCGAGGCCGGCTCCTGCTCTCTCTAGAGACCAAGCTGGTGGAGCACAGCGAGCAGAAGGTGGAGGACCTCCCTGCAGACGACATCCTGCGGGTGGAGGTGAGGGGCACCTCCTGGGCCAGAGCTGGATCCCCGCTGGGTGCGGCCACATAGTCAGGAGGAGGGAGGGCTCGGCCCCACACTCGCTCTGCCTTCACCTCCCTGGCCTCAGCGTCTCGGCTGCAGAACGGGTGTGATCAGCACCCGTCCTGCCTCCTGAGGGATGCCCAGAGAAGAGAGAGGATTCTAGAAGTCTGGAGCGCACAGCAGAACCCGACGCTGTTTTATCATAGTGCTGTCAGAACCGCTAACCCGGAAGTCAGGTTGACTCTCGCCGTGCGGCAGACGCTGCTGGGGTGCCCCTGCAGCCATCCGATCTTCCCAGCGGCGATCACCCCATCTCACAGATGTGGAAGCGGAGGCTCAACAGACAGCAGAGCTCAGACCTTGGGCCAGGAGGTCTCGACCTGCAGACTCTGTGGTCAGATGGCCCTGGGCGGAGCCTGGCTCTCCCGCTCCCAGTATGCACTGTCAGGGTGACAATTACCCTTCCCTCCTGGGACGGTGAGGAGAGTTAAGTGAACGAATATGTGTACGCACGAGGCACTCAGGAAGCATCAACTCTCATTGTTTACATCCTCATGCCCAACTCTTCTGACCCTCTGCCCTCTGCCCTCACTGTGGAAAACACCGGGACCAAGGCTGGCTGCCTCCTGCGTACTCAGCCTTGTGCCCCCACCCCCAGCCCACGCGGTGGCGCTGGTGCTTGTCTCAGGGGTGCCTGGAGGCTTGGGGTGGGGGCTGTGGTGGTTGGAGCTTTGCAGTCCCCCTCTGAGTGCAAACTCGAGCCTGTAGGGCACCGTGGGGGACCCTGCTCCGCTGGCGTGGTGGTGCCGGCGGCGTGGATTTCCGAGCAGCCTGGCCCTGGAAGAGCAGATCTTGCTGGGGAGGTGCGGCCAGGCGCGCAGCCCTGGAACCTTCGGCTCCGTTACTACATCTGCGCCGTCTGCTGACCTGGGCTCTGTGTGCTGCCCGTCTGTCCAGCCGGGGGCCTTGGGGGTGTGGTCATGGCCAGGGCCGCTGGGCCCCTGAGCCCTCCCCGCCACGCCTTCCTCTGCTCCTTGCGGTGACCTGTGGCTGCTCCTCTGCCCTCAGAAGTACCTGCGGAGGCGCAAGTACTCCCTGTTTGCTGCCTTCTACTCGGCCTCCATGCTGCAGGACGTGGACGATGCCATCCAGTTCGAAGTCAGCATCGGGAACTACGGGAACAAATTCGACACCACCTGCCTGCCGCTGGCCTCCACCACGCAGTACAGCAGGGCTGTCTTTGACGGTGAGGCCTGCACCCGCGCTCGCGCTCCTGGGGGTGCACAAACCACAGGGCGGGGGCCAAACCCTAGCTGTTACCTCCCAGGGAAGGCAGCTGCTGAGGGGTCTGCCCTTGGCTCTGCGCCCTGTGCCACTGCCCCATGCTCCTCCGCGTGGAGCCTGCAGCTGGGACCCCTGAAACACCATCTGTGGCCGGGGTGGATCTTGACCCAGATGCTAAGGGGCTCTGATGAGAGCAGCGGCTGGCTGTGTAACAGGCAGCTTGTTTGCACGCGCCGGGGAGTACAGGTTGTCCGCATGTGTCCAAGGGACATCTGAGGTGGGAAGGGGGTGGGTCCTCTGTCCAGGAGGAGGTCTGAGCCCTGGCCTCTGCCTCTGGCGCAGGCCTCAGGTCCTTCTCCTCTCCCAGGCTGCCACTACTACTACCTGCCCTGGGGCAACGTGAAGCCTGTGGTGGTGCTGTCCTCCTACTGGGAGGACATCAGCCACAGGGTCGAGACACAGAATCACCTGCTTGGGATCGCCGACCGGCTGGTGAGCAGAAGCCGCCCCAGACCCGAGGGGGTTGGAGTGTCTTCAGACCCTCTTGGCCTGGGGGTTTGCAGTCCTGCCCTGCAGGTTGGGAAGAGACTTGGCAGGGGGGACAGTCCCGGGGACTGTCTGATATAGGGGATGACACCAGGCAGGGGGCAACGGTCTTAGTCTGAACTGTTCACTCCCCGCCTTGGGTGCCCTTGGGCTCTCCCCACACACAAGGACTCCTGTAGGCAACTTCTAGCTACAAACCAGAAGCCAGGAGCAAACCAGGAGCTACCCCTGCCTTCAGAGAATCAGTTTAGTGACAGAGAATGGACTCCTTGGAGGGAGATGGGTTGTGGGGCAGGAGCTCAGCTCAGCTGTGAAGATGGGGGGGCCCAGGGGAGGAGGTGACTTCTGGGGGAAGCTGTGGGGTGTTAGCTACAAGGCCTGGGTGGCCTGTTGGATTTGGGGGTGAGGAAGGACTATGAGAAGTGATCCTGGGGCCTAGGACTGGGCAGGCAGGGAGCAGAGAAAGAGAGTGGGTGGTGAGTTCTGGTTTGGAGGTGGGGAAGGGGCCTTTTAGGGAGTTATGGACAACTGCTGGGAGCTTGGCCAGGGCGGTAGAGATCCAAATGTGGACAGAGGTGGAGAGGATGAGGGAAGGAAGAAGGCAGGGCAGGAAGGTGATGGTTTGGGTGTGGCTGGAGTGTGGGACTCACAGGTGAGGTGTGTAACCTGTGGAAAGGTGGGAGAGGCAGGTGCAGCCATGTTGTTGGAACAAGAGAGGAGTGGCAGGTGGAGGGACCTGGGGTGAGGAGGTGAGCACAGTTCAAAAGATGGAGGGTGAAGGGAGGCAGTGGATCTGGGGCGTCCAGACTGGACCAGGGTTAGTGGGGCATGGTGGGCCACACCTGCCTGGAGGCCGGCAACTCTAGAGGAAGGAAGAAACCAGCAAACACTGAGATGGGGAGAATGGCGAGTCTGTACTGCCTTTGGATCAGCCACTATCTCGTTCCGGGATCTGTCCTGGACTGGTGGTGGCAGCCTGGAGCACATGTCCCGTGCTTGAGATGGCTGATGAGTGGGGAGCAAGGTGCATGGGGGACCGATAGACCCATTCATTCCAAGAAGGGTCTCTGCCCCCATCTCAGGGCTGCGGCCCACAGGGAGGCTTGGAAGGGAGCTTAGCCCGGGAGGCAGCGTCAGGCCAGGGAGGTTGAAGCGGGAACTCACTGTGCCTGGAGGTGGGCTGCCCCCTGAGGAAGGCAAGCTTGGTGTGAACCTAGCCAGGTGGTAACATCTGGAAAGGAGAGAGGGGGTTCCAGGCAGGGACCTGGAGCAGGCTCAGAATGGGCTGCTTAGCTGTGGGGAGTCAGACTTGGCTTGAAGCGGCGGGTGAGGCGTGGGAGGCATTCAGATGCTGTGAAAGTCTGTAGGTAGCATCTGAACTCCTGGAGACCACCTGTGAGGTTGGCATCCGGGCTTAGGGATTTGGGTGTGACTGAGCATGGGGACCCCTGGAATGTTCTGGAGCTGGAGCAGATCCTGAATAGTTGGGTCTGGGCTCTGCCTTCCCTGTCCTACACGTTCACCCATTCTTGGTTTAGGGGCTGAGCTGTGACAGGGCCAGGGGGTTGGGTCCCGTCTGGACGTTCTGCACCCTGGTGGCATCCTGACCCCGGCCTGCCTGTTCTACAGGAAGCTGGTCTGGCGCAGGTCCACCTGGCCCTGAAGGCGCAGTGCTCTGCCGAGGACGCCGACACCCTGGGGGCTCAGCTGATGGATGAGCTCATTGCAGACTGCAGGTAGGGGGTACCTGGCGCCCCCAGCGCCCTCCTCCGCTGGCTGGGTTAGGCCCGTTTCCCTGAGAGTGTTCGTGTGTGGCGGTGAGCAGGGCGCGTCTCCCAGCCACGCTTGGCCAGCAGTCCGGCCCGTGCTGAGTGCAAAGGTGGAGGAGCCAGCGCGGGGAGTTGAAAAGGTGACATTTAGAGCAGGCCATAAATCTCCCTGCAGCGGCGGCAGCTGTGGGCCCAGGGCGGCCCGGCCACCTGAATGGAGAGCATTGTGTCTCTGATCCCCGACCCCTTATTTCCCTGATGGAATCTCCAGGAGAAGCTGGCCATGTGTGTGCATGTGCGTGTGTGTGTGTGTGTGTGTGTGTGCGTGTGTGTGAGACGCGGCTCCTCTCCCAGGGCCGTGGCGGGAGCATGGTTTCTGGTTAGCCTTCTGTTGACACGGCCGACTGTCAGCTTCAGGAAGAGGGAGATTGGGGTGATGGAGAATGGGGGTGCAGCGGCCGTCCAGAAGGGGCTCTGCATCTCCCCTTCTGGTTTTGAGGAACCGTGGCTAAGACAGCCTTGAACTTCAAGCTGTTATGAAGAATAGCTCCTTTATGATATTTCATAAACAAAGTGCCTGGAGCAGAAGGACTTAAGAACCGGTGGCTCTAGTCATTAAGAAGAAAATGTCGGGAGACTCGGGCACTTGTCTGTTCACTGGCTTTGGGCAGCTTCACCTCACTGGGCTCAGTTTTCTCAGTGGGTCCGATGGACTTATAACGAATGGTTGTTCTCCTCTGCTGTTTGGGGCTGAGTGTGAGTGTATGACAGTGTGCCCCTCAGCGTCTCATCACCTCGCCTGGCTGTGGAGCCCCTGTGAAAAATGTCTTAGTGCCTTCATGCTGAGAAATGGGTCCCCACGGCCACCTGCTGCGGTGCCTGTTCCAGTCCTTTGTTTCCTAGGAAGGAAGTGTATCTATCAAGATCTTTCCCAGGGGCCGGCGCTGTGGCTTGGGGAGGGTTAAGCTGCTGCCTGCAGTACCAGCATCCCATATTCCGTTCAAGTCCTGGCTGCTCCCTTCTGATCCAGCTCCCTGCTCATGAGGCTGGGAAAGCAGCAGAGGATGGCCCAAGTGCTTGGGCCTGTACGCCCACTTAGGAGACCTGGATGGAGCTTCGGGCTCTTGGCTTCAGCTTGGTCCAGCTCTGACTGTTGCAGCCTTTTGGGGAGTGAACCAGCGGATAGAAGAGATTCATATTCTCATTTTCTCTTTCCCTCTCTTGCTGTAATTCTGCCTTTCAAATAAATATCCTTTGGAAAAATGTTACCCCCAAAGAAATGCCCTCCCCCAGTGGTAGAATTCCAGACCAGTCCCCCAAACCTTCCTACAGCCTGGCAGGCTCAGGACCAGGCTTCCAGAATGTACTGATGAGGGTGCACCTTCTGTCCTCTGGGGGTGACGACATAAAACTAAGCTAATGAAGGAACCAGTGTTGGGGCTATAGAGCTTAGATCAGGTACACCTAGGTCCAACAAGTCCAACTAGGGGGAGCTTCCTGGAAGAGGAATACCTGTGGACTTGGTAGGGAAGGGTAATAGTTGGCCTCTGAAAAGGGGACTTCCTGCTGCTCAGGGTAGGGGTAAGGGGGGGTTTGGCCTCAGGGATCTGGGGGTAGGCATAAGGGGGGTTTTGGCCTCAGGGGTCTGGTAAGGAGAGATCAGTCCTGGGAGCCACAGAAGACAAGGGGACCCCCTGTGGCTCAGCTGCCTACTGGGGCTGCAGTGTGAGGGGTGGACCGGTGGGGGGGCGGCTATGGCTGCGTTGTGACAAAGCCTTAGCAGAGGCAGGGACACCAGGAGGAAAGGCTGCTGAGGGAGGAAGAGGTCAGCCTGGGCTCTTCCAGAGGTGTTGCGGTGACAGCCACCTACTGTGCCAGGTGCTGCCCTAAGAATCGCACATGTATGAATGTCCCATCAAAGTGACAGACCAGGAAACTGAGGCACAGGCTGACTAACCTGCCCTGTCTCTTCTGTCGTGGATGGGTCATGAAGGGGGCTTGGCCAAAGGCAGGCCCAGAGTGACCTCCTGGCTGCGGCCGCTCTCTGTGGGGTCGGCAGCAGTGTGAGTTGGATGAGGCATTTAGGACAGGGATGGTGACTGGAGGCAAGCTGGTGCTGTGGTCTGGACATGGGAGAATGGATTGGGGCTGGAGGGACACACAGGGGCGTGGTCAGCCCATGTGGGGCTCATGGGGGGCTCACCAGGGCATTCTCGAGTACCCTGCGCCATCCCTGCAGAGTGGCAGGCACTGCCCGAGTGGCACAGCCTTGGGGTCGGGTCAGGGGCCAAGGCTCTGCTTCTGTAAGTAGTCTCGCTCATGCCTCATGGGGCTGAGGTGCTGGCACCCTGAGCCAGGAGGACCTGTGACCTGTGCTGCCCTCCACGTCCTCCCCACAGAAGTACTTCCAGCCTGCCCTCGTGAGTCGGAGGGTGTCTGGGTGTCCTGGGGAGCTTGGGAAGGGAGCCGAGCTCCTTCCTCTGTAGGACGTACGGTGGCTCTCAGGTGGACTTCCAGGTACCACCTGAGGCTGTGAGCAGCCCCCGGCCAGGGCAGGAGGGTCTCCTCCATGACGGCTGATGCCCCTGTGGCCCGTGGGGTCCCCAGATCGCCTCTGGCCACGTTGACAGTGTCAGTGCCGCTCATCCACATGGTGCCCTTTTCTCGGTCCATCTCCCAGGGAACGCCACTCACCCTGCTGGGCCAACGCTGTCCACTCTGTTCCTGTAGCCATAGGTTGACCTGTGTGCTGGCCTCCCAGTGGGGTGTCCTGCTGTGCACCATGCCATGTCTGGGGCCACAGGTACCCCAGACGATTCTGTCACCTTTCCCCGCTGTGTCTTCTCCTGGATCCATTGTCCCCAGAGCTGGCGTTGTCTTCCCTACCTCTCCTGCCCTGCGGGTGCCCCTGTCGCACAGCCATCTTCACCAGCCCTCCTTGCGTCAGCGTCCCCATGATCTTCCTAAAATGGTGACACAGCAGACTTCAGCCCCACAGGACAGAGTCCAGCTCTTGTCCTGGTGAGCAGGACTCTGCCCCCACCACCTGCCACCACAGCGGGACCTCAGGCCCTGTGAGCCTCTCTGCTGGTCTGTGCAGCCCTCCCCACCCCTCCCCACCGTACCGTGCACTCCCTTGCCCCTGTGCCTTTGCTCATGTGTGTGCTGTTCTACCGGTCACACTGCTCTTCCTGCTTTCCTGGGCCTGACTAGCTTTGGGCCACTTCTTCCAGGAAGGACTCCTGACTTTGAGGCTGCAGGAATAGGAATTGTGGATGGCTTGCCTCTCCATTCTTGGGGGGCTCTCAGAGAGCAGGGCTAGGTCTGATTCTGGTCCAGCCTGGGCCCAAGGGAGCTGTGGCTTCTGAGGAGTGACAGCAGGCCAGCTGTGGCAGTGACTTTGTGAGCAGCCGGCTCTGCAACTGCCCGTACTCCCTGAGTCAGGAGGGCTGACTACGCTAGGGTTGGGGGTGCAGGGCCACCGGTGTTGTCTTCTGTGACCCCTCTCTGTGCCTGCTGCCTTGGGCTCTCCTGCGCAGCAGAGAGCTGAGATACGCTGTTAGTGGCCTGGTCCTGGCTGGGCTCCTGGCCTCCATGGAAATGTCCCTTTGGTGGTCGGGGTTGCTGTCCCTCCTGGCTGCCGACACAGGCTGGGCAAACTCCTGTGCCCAGGCCCAGCTTGGTCAGGGCCCCCTGCACCCGGAGCGTGCCCCTGCGCTGCAGCCACCGGCTGGGGCAGTCCCAGCCACGGCACCCTCGGGCAGTAAATATTATATTACTACAGGGTGTGCAGTACGTGACCTGAGACAGGCCCCGGGGCTTAAGTTTCCCGAGATGGAGTTTGCGTGCTGCTCCCCCCACCCTAAAAATTCAATTAAAAAAAATAACAGGAAAAATGCAGCACGCCGAGGGCCTGCCAGAGTGGTGGATCTGGCGCGGCGGTGCCGCTGCGCTCCGCCGGTAATTGGTTCTGCATAGCTCGGGGAAATTGGCAGAAAAATAAATCAGCCGGGAGCCGGGAGCCCAGACGCGGCGGGGAGGGGAGAGGGCGGTGGGAGCGGAGCTGGCGGGGTTGACTAATGTCCTGTGCGGGAGTACAGGACCCCACAGGCTCGCCCAAGGGCCGGGAGGTGCCCCCGTGGGAGGCTGGGAGGTGGGCGGAGGTCTTTGCCTCCCAACAGCATTGGGCTTAAACTCGACCTTTGTGCTCAGGGCTGTGTTTCTGAGACTGTGTGAGACCCAGTCCTGTCCAGAGGTTTCCCCAGGCCGGGGGGGGGGGGGGGTCTGGGTGGGTGTTGTGGGGCTGCCCCCAGCCGCTGGCCTCCCTGCTGTCTGTGGAGGCCCTCAGGGCTCCCTGCATTTCCTTTTTTAAAGTACACCTCGCCCAGAAGGGATGGCCACATAAGTTGTGGGGAGGGGCGCTCCTGTGTGAAAGAACTCACCAGGCTGGAGGTAGGGGGGTGACTTCTAAACAGCCTGCCCCAGAGTAAAGGTCAGGGAGCTTTGTTGTGGGAGGTGAGTGAGCCGATGTGGTTGGGAAGGCTTCCTGGAGGTGGTGAGGATGGAGCCCTTTAAATGTGGTGATGAGTGGATCAGGTTGGAGAAGGCACCTGGCAGGTAGGCTGAGGGTATAGGGCCTGTTAGCCTGTGCATGTGTGTATGTATGCACGCCTGTGTTCACCTGTACCTGGAGAAGTGCCTGCTTCTCCTGCTGGTCACGTGATGTCACACCTATCCTCACAGTCAGCCCCTGCACGATGTCCGTGAGACGCCCTCTGCCACCCACCTGGACCAGTACCTGTACCAGCTGCGCAGCCGCCACCTGAGCCAGATTGCAGAGGCTGCCCTGGCGCTGAAGCTCGGCCACAGCGAGCTCCCTGCTGTCCTGGAGCAGGCGGAGGACTGGCTGCTGCGTCTCCGTGCCCTGGCTGAGGAGGTACAGACCCCAGGGTGCCTTCCTCCCTCTGCCTGGAACCCCAGGAAGGGGAGGGACATGGGGACTGTGTGGACTGGTGCTGGGTGACCTTGGTCAGGTGGCTTACCTTTCCCTAGTCTCGTGTCCCCGTTTATGACAGGAGGGAAGATATAACAGGTATTGGGGGCCAGCGTGGAGCCTGGAACACTGTAGGTGATTAATAAATGCTCTCTGCCTCCCAAAGTATGTCGGAGACAGAGCCGAGACCAGACTGGCTGTAGGGCCAGCGCTGGGGGCTGCTTCCTGCCAGCCTGTGCTTGGTCTGTATCTGGCCTCAAATGTGCCTCTCCTGGGCATTGTGTCTGGAGCCCTCCTGGGTGCCTCCACCATGCCTCCATGTTGGGTTGGACCTAACCAGAGAGAACTGGCTCCAGCGTGCCTTTGGGGGTCCCTTTCCCTACCTTTATAACCCCAGCCCAGGTCTGTGAGGCCACAAGCACCCACACAAGTCCTGGCACACAGGCAACTCATTCTGGGTTTGTTCAGAATGAGAAAAGTCTCCTCCCAAACCATGGGCAGATGCAGCTGCTGCCCACTCTGCCCAGGGCCACACGGATCCTAAGGGAAGAGGTAGGGTGCTTAGGGAGGGGCTCTTGGAAGCAGTCTGGGGAGAAGGGTGCTGAGAGGGACTTTTGGAGGAGCAGGTAGAGATGCTGCTCGGGAGGGCACGAGGGTCCCTGGATATTTCTCAGGGCAAGGAGTACAGGCAGGGAGTGCGGCAGCTCCCTGGGGCATGCTGCGCTGCCCAGTGAGGACCAGCCCCTCAGGTGGACACCAGCTACCTCTGACTCCATAGCCTGAATACGGATGGCAATAAGCCTGCAGTTGGGTAATGCTAAGTGAGGGCTAGAATCTGTGTGTGTGTGTGTGTGTGTGTGTTTGTACACACACGTTGGAATCCCCCAGGGGCTTGTGCAAACAGGTGTTGAAGCCCACCTGCAGGGGTCCTGGCCCCAGGTCCAGGTAAAGTCTGAGAGTCTGCATTTCTGACAAGTTGTTGCAAGGAGCTGCTGCTGTGGCTTCAGGGGTCCCAGCGTGGGAGCGCCGTGCCAGTCAGGGGTCAGGGACACGGATCTGGAGCCCTAATCCCTCAGGCTGCATTTCCTCGTGTGTCAGGTGGAGGTGCCTGGCCTGCCTCCTGGGCCCGCTGGAGGGATTAAGGGAAGCAGTCCTTGTGACACGCTCAGTGAGCACCCCAGGAGCACTGCCCAGTGGGTCCCCCCACCCCCCTCTTGGCTTACCGTTCTGGAAGCCGAAGGACACTTCTCCGAGCAGCAGGAAGTAGTAGCCTTGCAGTTCTGTTCTGGGCCAGGCTTCTGTGAGAGGGCAGAGCAGCCAGTGCCCTCTGGGGGCACCTTCTGTGCACTTGGGATGCTCTCAGGGCCAGGAAGGAGGCTGCTGTCTGAAGTGCGAGGTCAGCTCTGACCCAGCCTGATCCTGCAACGCGTATGTACCCCCGGGAGTCCCCAGCCTCAGAGGGCCCTAAGGACAACATTGCTGAGCTCCGGCAAGGGCCTCTCCTGCCAGACAGGGGTGTTCACTTGGGGGGATTTTCAGCAGGCTCCTGTGCAAGCCAGGAGCAGGGCTGCTATCTGGGGGCTCACAGCCACTGCAGGCAGGTGCCTGGCCAGCCTGGGAAGGCTAGGGGGGCAGCGTGTGGACAGCAGCTGGGGAGGGGCTTCTGAGGTGGAGGTTAACTCTCGCGGTAGCCGTGGGGTGCAGGCCCTGGTGTCTCACTACCCTCCTGCCCCGCAGCCCCAGAACAGCCTGCCGGACATCATCATCTGGATGCTGCAGGGAGACAAGCGTGTGGCCTACCAGCGGGTGCCCGCCCACCAGGTCCTCTTCTCCCGGCGGGGGGCCAGCTTCTGCGGCAAGAACTGCGGGAAGCTGCAGACCATCTTTCTGAAAGTGAGTTCTCCTTTTCTCAGTCTCGGTGGTCCTGATGGTGCCTTCTCCATGCAAGGCCTTTCTCCCGCCCCTTCCGTTTCCCGCTTGTATTCTGGATCCATGTTGGCGTCCTTGGGCTGTGGTCTCAGAAGCGGTGGTCTTTGTGTAAAACAATGCTCCCTTCCCTCTGTCCCTCATGAGGCGCTGTGCATGTAGTCTAGAGGGCTTGCGGGATGGACTGGACGTGGGGAGGCGGCGTGCGAGGCCTCAGGCTGCATGGGACGCTGATCCCTGAGGGCAGGTAGAAAGGACAGCCTCAGAGCAGCACAGGGCATGTGGACAGCTTTCCAGGCCTGGAACTCCCCATGGCCTCGGGCAGCTTGCCTGTCCTCTCTGACTGCCGGCTGTCTTCTTGCCTGTCAGAGGAGGACAAGGGCTGCCCACTTCACAGGTTGTAAGGGGCCAACTAGGCAGCACAGATACTGGGTCTTGCTGGAACGGGGGCTCGTGGATGCTGGCTTCTCTCCCCTCCTCTCCCCTTTTCCTTTGGGGAGCACCTTAGCTTCACAAGCACCATGACTGGATGCACGCCAAAGCCAGGAGTGGGCACTGGTGCCTCAGAGGGGAGGCCAGCCCTGTGCAGCGGGGAAGGAAGCAGGGGTGTGTGTGTGTGTGTGTGTGTGTGTGTGTGAGAGAGAGAGAGAGAGAGAGAGAGAGAGAGGGCTGCCACTCCACCTCGGGCACATTCCTCAAGTGATTGACCCCAACCCCCGAGAACCGCCCTTCTAAGCCAGCTCTTCACCCCGTAGGGCAGGAGGGGAGCAGCCCTGCCCACGTGGGGCTGGCTGTGGAGGGCTCTGCGTGCACCTGATGGGCTTGCTTGCTGGAGCAGGGTGGGCTCTGGGTTCTGACCTTTTGGCCCCGTAGCCTTAGGGAAACACAAACTGAAAATTTTCCCTGATTCCAAGGAAAGGAAAAAAAAAGACGTAGAATTTTTCTCGAAGTCTTCCCTGCTGAGTTTATGAGCCCGCCAGTAGCTCCTGAGCAAGCTCTACAAAAATGTTGGCAGTGAGCAGAGACCAAGAAAACATTGGTGTTTCTTAACTTAAACCAAAGTTGGAAAAAATGAGCACCAGCAGAGAGGAGAGGAGCCCCAAACTAGACATTTCTTTATTTGCTGTTGCTATTTTGGGTCCAGCAGGCTGGCCCTGTCTGGGGGAGGGCAGGGGAGAGAGCTGGGGGTGGATGGGGGAAGGGGGGGTCAGGCATTCCTGCCCTCTCCCAGGGGCTGGTGGTTTGGAGGGGAGCAGGCCGCTAACCACCCCTGGGGAGAGGATAGCTGAAGCCAACAGCCCTGGGGAAGTGTCAGGGAGGGGGTGACACGTGGGATCAGGGGCTTCGCCGAGCATGAACCAAACGGAGGGGCTGGGCGGCATGAGATGGTCATTGCCTCGGCATGTCCAGTGCCCTGCCCAAGCTGTCCACCTGCCCCAGGCTGCTCCTGCACCAGCTCGCGTGCTCTTGCCTCGGTCTCCCTCTCCTCCTGAGAACCCACCCCAGCCCTGCCTGCCCTGTTGCTCGGCTCCCTGTCCTGGAGAAGTGACTCCCTCTGAGCCGGTGCACACGAGGCCCAGGGGGCTCAGCGTGTCGCCTTGTCTAGGGGACCACGTGTTATTTTAAGAGAGGAATTTCTGCTCCTTGGGCCATAGCTGACCTTTGGTTTCAACCAAATGATGAAGTAATTGTGGAGAATACTTTTTTTTTTTAGCATTGGGATGTTGTGGTTATTCCATTTTGGCAGTGCTTCTGAAAGCTTTGGGATAAAAAGCAGTAGAAGAGCAGCAAGTTGTGGTTAGCAGGCTGATAAGCTCTTGGAAGCGTAAGGGTATTGGTGATGCTAATGTCCAGCGCCCACCCCTAATCCTGAAAACAAACAGGGAGGTTTGGATCACTTCCCCTCGCAGATCTCTATCGCTGTGTCGCCTCTGGAGATGGAGTCTAAACCGCTGCTGTCCTCCGTGACAGCCGCATATGGATGTTGAGTGAATTAAAGGGAAATGGGACCCAACGCTCGGTTCCTCAGCCGCACTAACCATGTTTCACAGGCTCATCAGCACATGGGGTGGTGGCTACCATACTGGATGGTGTAGATATAAACCAGTTCCCTCTTAGGAGGGGATTCACTGCACAGTGCCAATCTAGAGGAGTAAGGGAGCGAGGTGGGGGGAATGTGGAGGGAGCAGGGGAGACCTCTGGATCCTGGCCTGGGTGTGGCTTCTCTCTGCAGAGGGCTCCTGGGGTTGGGGGTGCTACGGTTCTCTTTGATGGGAGGGACTTCTTGCGGGAAGTAGAGAAAGTTCTTAATTATGTACTCTTCTTCCAAGGAATTCTAGTGCCTCCTCCTACAGGGCACACAGCTAATGGGGTAGGGGTGGGGGCTGTGCCAGGCTGAAATCCCAGAGCTAGAGGACACCCTCCACCTCCAGACCAACCTGTAGGGTCCTGTCCTCTGGTTCTCAGTATCCCATGGAGAGGGTGCCTGGAGCCCGGATGCCAGTGCAGATTCGGGTCAAGCTCTGGTTCGGGCTGTCTGTGGATGAGAAAGAGTTCAACCAGTTCGCTGAGGGGAAGCTGTCCGTCTTCGCTGAAACCGTGAGTGCCAACCGGCTTGGCCCTGCCTCTCTCCGAGCTGCCGCCCACCTCCCCCTGCTCACTCCTCCTCCTCCCTCACCCTCCAGTACGAGAACCAGACCAAGCTGGCTCTAGTCGGGAACTGGGGTACCACGGGCCTCACCTACCCCAAGTTTTCCGACGTGACGGGCAAGATCAAGCTACCCAAGGACAGCTTCCGCCCCTCCACTGGCTGGGCCTGGGCTGGAGACTGGTTCGTGTGTCCGGAGAAGACGTGAGTCCTAGGCAGGGAAGGCTTGGGGAAGGCCACACTGCCCACTGCGACCACTCCATCTGCCCAGCCACGGCCCTGTTGGCCAGTGCACCTGCTCCTGCCACCCGAGCCTCTCCCAGCACAGGGGCAGGATTCCTTTGTGGAGGGCTCTGACAATCAGAATGGGCCTTTGGATTCGGCCTCGGTTCAGCTTCGCACCCATTGGCATGACCCTGTCCTATTGCGAGCCCCTTGGTGCCTCTGTACGTGAGCCCCTCTCATGTCTGGGGCTGCTCACCCGTCCTTTCTCTTTTTGTCCTTCAGTGTCTGTGTGACCATCTCTGCCTCTTTCTCCTCTTCCCTTTCTTGTTTGATTGACAGAGCGTTCTTTTATTTTTACTTAAGATCAAAGCGCAGCGTATGTTACACAGCCAAGGACTCAAGTCTTAGGTGTGCAGCCTCATGGGTTCCCTGTTTCCACGGCTCTCTATTGAGAGATGCTGTACTCCTGGCCTGGGGGAGGGGCTCCTGTCACTCACTGCCCAGCGGTGCCCTTGACTGGCCTTGCTCCCTCTGTTTGATTGGGGTGATGTGGTCTTTCGCCTCTATCTCGAGGTGTCCCTGGCTCTCCTTTTCATGCTCTGACCCGGTTTTTCTGCACCCTCACCTCCATCCCTCTTGTAGCAAGGCTGACGTGTGTGGGTTGGCCAGAGCCTGAGTGCTGTCCCGGAGGGGGTGAGAGGGTGGGGGGTCTCTCCTGCAGAGATACCGAGTGCTCCCCCTACCCCAAAGTCTGCTCCATGACACGGATGCTGGCCACTTGAGCTTCGTGGAGGAGGTGTTTGAGAACCAGACCCGGCTCCCTGGAGGCCAGTGGATTTACATGAGTGACAACTACACGGACGTGGTAAGGCAGCAGTCCAGGCGGTCGGGCGGTCCCGCGGGAGCTGTGGCTCAGAGGCAGGGGATCCCCGCTTCAGGACTACTGTGGGAGCCGGTGGGAGCAGGATATGGACCCTGAGTCACACAGGTCCCCAGCGGTTCTGCCCTTCCCTCGGCGGGGGGCGGGTGGTTTTCCTGCTTCCCTGCTAAGGTGCATCTGTGTCTCCTCACTCTCGCCTGTCTTGTTTTGTCCCTAGAATGGGGAGAAGGTGCTTCCCAAGGACGACATCGAGTGCCCCCTGGGTTGGAAGTGGGAAGATGAAGAGTGGTCCACCGACCTCAACAGGGCTGTTGATGAGCAAGGTGGGCGGCAGGGCTTGGCGGGGGCGGGGGTGGGGGGGCATCCGAGTGCCAGGACTCCTTGGAGGGCTGAGAGTCCCTGGCCTCGCCAGAGTTCATGAGCGGGGCCCCAGGGGAGAGGGACGCAGCTGAGCGGTGAGTGACAGGTGCCCCTCCCCCAGGCTGGGAGTACAGCATCACCCTCCCCGCCGACCGGAAGCCCCGGCACTGGGTGCCGGCAGAGAAGATGTACTACACACACCGCAGGCGGCGCTGGGTGCGCCTGCGCAGGAGGGACCTCAGCCAGATGGAAGCCCTGAAGAAGGTGAGCAGGCGGGGGGTGGGGGGGGAGGGTGGAGAGGAGACTGCTGGGCACGGGTGTGTGTGTGTGTGTGTGCGCGTGCCGTGCATGGGCGCCTGGCCACACCCAGCACACACAGGGACAACACACCCAGATGCCCGAGACTGCCCGAGAGCGCTCGCGAGCACGGCAGGTGTGCGGAGGCCCGCTTTCCTAGCTGCAGAGGCGGGAGAGTTTCTGAGGACCTGTTCCTGAGGGTTCGCAGCGTGGGTGTGGCCTGCAGAGGGCGGGGCCCTGGAGAGCCACAAAAGAAACGCCACCTGGGTGGGGAGCACCCTGGGGCGTGTGGCCTGTTGGCTGCCATTGGCCGAGAGCTGCTGGGGTCCACGCCTCCCAGTGAAGTGTTCCCCTTGGCAGCCGGCAGTTCCCTGGGTCACACGGCCGCTGCGTGCAGTGTGGTGTGCAGGGCCTGGGCTGGGCTCCGCAGGGTTTCCTTGAGGACACACAGCCATGGTCATGTGCTGGTCCCGCCAGGAACCGTCAGCCCACGGTATGCGTGTGTCACGTTCTGCCCCGGGGTCACACGGATGCCCACGCTACGCGCAGCCTCAGATCCAGCCTCCCTTGGACTCTCTTGCCCAGTGTCCTTCTTTACCAAGAGCATGTTGGAATTTTGGCTCCACGGCCAGCCCTGGCCAGCCCTGGGTTCCTTCTCTCAGCACAGAGCTGCTGGAGCGGAGCATTTCTGGGTCTGGGAGAGGCGGGGGTTATGGACAACCAGCCATTCCAGGTGCCTCGCACCAGACAGGCTAACGGGCACTCGGCAGGAGGGGAAGCCCAGGCAGGCACGAGGGCCTTCCTGGAGGGGGTGTGGCTGGGCTCCAGGACCAGCTCTTGTCGCTGTGGGTGTGGCCCAGGTGAGGAGGTGTGGAGGGACAGTCCCAGGCTGTCTGCCCCAGGAGCTGGGGGACAAGAGCTTCCAGGCTCCAAGCAGGGTCCCCTTGTAGATACTGCAGGGGATCCTTCCACGGCTGACCCAGGTCCAGCCTCCTGGTGCTGGGAAACGGGATCTTCATTTGGCCTCTGAACTGTGGGCACTCTTCCATTTTTATGGGCTGGGATGTGAAGAAGAGAACCTTGGATTCATGCAGTCTACCCATAATTCAAATAAACAAGCAAACCGAAGCCCAGTGTGTTCATCACTGCTCCAGGCGGCCTTCCCTTCCTGGCTCGTCCTTTTTCCCCACAGCCCATGGAGACTCCTCTCCCCTCTCCATCTTCTGACCTGGGGTCTTGCAGAAGCTGCTTAGAGGCACCTCCTCCAGGTGGCCCTCCCAGGTTTCCTCACGGGGAGGGCAGGCGGGCACAGCTGGAGGTGAGCCCAGGCGTCCCCACGGGCCTGCCAGCCAGCCTCTGAGTCTGCCCCTCTCTCCCTGTGCAGCACAGGCAGGCGGAGGCGGAGGGCGAGGGCTGGGAGTATGCCTCGCTCTTTGGCTGGAAGTTCCACCTCGAGTACCGCAAGACTGACGCCTTTCGCCGCCGGCGCTGGCGCCGCCGCATGGAGCCACTGGAGAAGACGGGGCCTGCGGCTGTGTTTGCCCTCGAGGGGGCCCTGGTACGTGGGTGTGCGCCTGTTGTGGGCCGGGTGGGGTGCTTGTCTCCCGGAGCTGTGCCCGGCGGACATGGGAGAGGCGCAGGAAGCCCGCGCTGGGGCTTTGGGTGGAGCGTTGGCTGGCCAGCCTGGCTTCGGCTCCTGCGGGGTTGTGTATGGGGACAGTGAGCACCAGGCTGGGTGTCCTCTGAAAACAAAACAGCGGCTTTCTTGGCACTGGACGACCCGCTGCCATCACCGCCGCTGCTGCTGCTTTGAGCAGCCAAGTTGGGCACAGAGAAGGAGCTGACCTTGGCCTTCTCCCCTGTGATCGGGGCTGGAGCTCAGGGCCCAGGTCTTGTGGAAGAGGCTGAATGGCATGGGGATGGGTGGCAAGGCTTTGACCTCACCCCTGTAATACCCAGAGAGGTCTGGTGACCCTACAGTATCCTTGGTTGGTCAGGCATGCTCCTGAGACAGGGGCCACCTCGTGGATGTCCCTAGAGGTGCCTTAGAAGCTGAGCCCCAGAGGGCTTCGTGCCCTAGGGTGTAGCCGGTGAGCTGGCTCCACAAAGGGCTGAACAGGTGGGGACACTTGGGCTCACGTGCAGACTGTCTCCCTGTAGTCTGGGCGTCTCTGGGATGCGAGTGGCCCTGCATGGGATACCGCTCTGAGATCCAGCCAGGGCTTTATTCCCTGCCCCCTGCCATGGGGACCTTGACCGTGACCCTGGGGAGCAGGTTCCATGGCTGAGGGGTGCTGAGGGGGTCTGAGGCTGCCCGTGAGTGGCTGGCTGAGTATGCACATTTGTGTATTGGGTTGGGGCCAAGGCTGGGTATAGACTTGTGGGGCAGCCCAGCTGCAAGGGCTGGGGTTGGGGGTGTACAGGGTGGGCTCTGGGTCTGATGGGGCGAACAGTGAAGGGCATCGAAACCAGCTGTGGCTCTTGGAGGTCATGGGAGGGCCGGGAGGTTCTGTTGGCCTCCAGGTGGCTGGGCCCACTGTGTGACACAGGAGAGGAAACCCTTAGGAGGCTGGGACTGTCCCAGGAGCCCCTCTGCCCTGGAGCCATCTGGTGGGAGGCTGGGAAGATAGAGCCTGGTGGTCGGGGCAGGAGCAGCCAGGGAGAGAAACCCAAGAGAATATTCAAGAGAATAAGGGGCCTGGGCTGAGCCCACGAGGCTCGTGGGGAATTAGTCTCTGGCAGGAAAAGAGATTCACATGCGTCCCAGGCCCAGCCCCTGACTTGGCCTCATAGCACTCTGGCCTGCTCCATGGCAGCAAAGATGGTGCTGGTGATGAAAGGCCGATGGCTTCCTGACAGCCAGCAGCAGCCGCTAGGTGAACTGGCACAGCCCACCAGCTGCGCTCGGTCCCCCCGCAGCTGGAGACCCCAGGGCGCTACTTCCTCATGCACACCAGAAGTCTCCTGTCCCAGTGATTTGACTCCACCTGACCTTGTGCGGGAGCTTGGGGGCGAGGGATGGAGAGGCCTCTGATTGGCTACCCTGGACCAATCAATCCCTGTGACTGATGGCACCACCAGGTTGGGGAGAACAGCTTCCGAAAAGGGAGCCGAGCAAACAAATCAGCGGACACAGTGCTGGGCAGAGCTCCAGATGGCGACAGCAGGACTCTGCCCGGTGGGCAGCAGGGAGCCAGCGTAGGTTGTGGAGCAGAGCAGCACGCTGGTCGGAGCTGGGCTTCAGGATCATCAATCAAATCCTTGTGGATCATGCCTGGGGGGAGGGAGTCGGGGCTGGAGGGGAAGAGGAGTGGTAGGATTTGGGATTTGGAGAGGGAAGGGTCACAGGGGCCTCAGGGACTTGACTGGTGGAGGGGAGGTGGGCAGGCTCAGGGCTGCGATGAGTTCACCGCCGGCCCTGGCAAGCAACACACACACACACACACAGTGGAGGATGGAGCTGGCGGCTGCCTGTCAGGGGGCCTGGGGCAGGGAGTCTGGGAGGCCTGGGGACCAGAGGTGCCCGGAGACGCACGGACAGGAGTGTGCACGGGTGCTGTGGCTGGCTTGGGACCTGCAGGCAGGTGAGCAGGGCTGCGAGCCACAGCCAGGCTTCCAGGGGCCTGGAGGGTGGGGGCAGCCCTTCCCAGAAGCAGGCACCAGCGGTTGGTCCTTCAGGAGAGGGTGTGTGTGTGTGGGGGGGGATCGCTGGAGCCGAGTGTGGAGTCGGTGACTGCTTGTGATTCAGATGTGATTGGCAGGAGAGAGCAGCACAGCGTGGCCCTCTGAGTCCCAGGAGGACTTGGCTGACGCGAGAGCCGGAGGGAGACAGTGGTTTGGGAGGGTGGATCCCACAAACCTGGAGTCGGAGGACCACAGGACTTTGGAAAGCCTTCAGGTGTCTTCTGCATTTGGACAGAGCCGCAGGCACATTTGACGGCAGCTGTCTGGCTTGCTCCGTGCCTGCTCCGTGCCTGTGGGAATTGAGGCTCCGTCAGCTCCCACCCCACACTCCCACACGTTGCTCCCGTGGTCGCCTCCGTGTCCTTCCCACCAGGGCAGAGGGGAGTCTGAGCCCGCGTCCCAAGTCCATAGTCCTCCTCCAGGATGTCCTGAGGCCCCAGCAAGGCTCTGGACTCACATGCACTGTGCTCCCTTGTGGAGACATGGCCGTGTTTCCTGGGTGCCAGGACCCAGTGCCCGTCCATACCTGCCCGTGGCTGACTTGAGGAGGGCAGGTGGGATGAGTGAGCTTCTGGGTGGTGCAGGTGTGGTTTGGCTAGTGCTTCCTCTGCCCACCAGCTGTAGATGGATCAGTCATGCCTACAGGGGTTCTGTTCCCTCCCTCCTGGAAGTCGCCAGGGCCTAGGATCAGTGTACGGTGTGAGGATGACACACGCAAACACGCGCTTCTTAGGCTTAATGAGTGTGGACACTGCCCATGGCCCTTGTGCTGCAGACTCTCGCCTGGGAGTCGTAGCCGACAGGTGGTGCAGTGAGGATGTGAAATGCACAGCACATTGTGGACCGTGAAGGGCAGGGTGCACCTGTACCTGGCGAAAGGTGTGAGGCCAGAATCCCAGAGAGGAGGATGTGTTTCCCTGCTTCTTGGTGGAAGAGGAGTGATCTAACGGCAACTTGGTGTGATAAGGAAGAGTATGTCCACACGTGAGTGCAGAGACTCCCAAGAGCACTTGTGTGTTACATGTGTGGGAGGTGGGACACGTGTCGTTCCTCAGTGACAGTACCCGGTGGGGGGAGGAGGGGGCGATCTTGGAGGACATTGGGAGGCAGACCAGGAAGGACTGGGATGGCAGCCAGGTGGCCTTCCTGACAACTGGACAACCTCGGGTGCCTGGGCCCAAGGACCAGGCCCAGGGAGCCCCTTGCCTCCTGCCACCCCTTCCCTGGCCCGCGGTCCGCCGGCGGGCCCTGATGCCAGCTCTGCTCTGGAAGACGTCTCCTTGGAAGGCAGGCCCCGTCTGCTCATTAGCCTTTCCCTGAAGCCTTCTGCAGGGGCCAAGCCTGGCTCCCTCCACGGAGCGGGAGGCCCTGGCTCCGTCTGCTAATCGTCTGCTGTCTCCATCCCGAGCATTATTTTATTTTCGTATTATTCTTTTTCCAGCTAATATCCTGGCATTCCCAGAGACACCGGCTTTCATAATCTTCCTGGCGTTCCCAGGGAGCTGGGAAGCGGAGCACAAAGCCGCTATTATAGCGTGTTCCATCCGCCTCCCTCTCCTCGCCCCACACCCCTCGCTGCCGCCACAGCCACCACTGCCGGCCCCCACCCAGCGATTCCCTCCCGACGCCACCGGGCTCTCTGGGAACTCGGGTGACGGCGGCCGGGATGAGCTCACGGAATCCATCCTGTCGCCCCTGCCCTGGGCCTGCCCTTCGTGGCGAGGATTTTTCCAAGCCCCGCCCCTCTGCTTGGCTCAGGATGTCCAGGAGGGTGTTCTGAGATGCCTGAACCTGGCGGGGAGGGAGCCATGTGTGCTTGCAGCCTGGGGGAGTTGAAGGGCTGGAGGGAACTTTGATGTCCTAAGTGCTTGCTAACCTGCCTTGGGTGTGGGAGCCGCTTGAAATGGATAGAGTGTGTGTGTGTGTGTGTGTGTGTACATGTACATGTATGATCTGTGAGTGTATGAGTGTGTGCATGTGCATATGTGGTCTGTGAGTATGAGGCATGCACGTGTGTGGTCTGAACACACTCAGTGGTCTGAATGCAGGTGTGTGCATATGTAAGTGGTCTGAGTGAACACGCGTGTATGCATGCGTGTGTAGTCTGAGTGCATGTGTGTGATGCCGTGGCTTTACCCAGCTCCACCAAGAGCATAGGAATGGCGGAAGTTGATTTTCCCATTTTCTCAGCCGTCTCAGCCTGAGAGCTTCACGTCATCTCATTTTATCCTCGCGCTGACCTCGGGAAGCGGATTCTGTGATTAACCCCATTTTACAGTCGAGGAGATTGAGACACTGGAACTGCCTTTATTCAGTACAAGACACACATGGCTATTGAAAATAGAGTAAGAAAATGGAGCTGCTGCCCAACAGGGCTCGCCTGGCCAGTGGCTGGCTCCCGCACTGGCCAGTGCAGCTCCAGAATAGTCTGTTTACCGCAGAAAGTTCTGCCGGACAGCACTGTGCTAGAACAACCCTGAGTCCCTAACGTGACCCCAGGAGACACGGGGACTGAGGTGGCCCTACACCCAGGACCCGCACAACTCCTCGCTCCCCTCCACGTGACTCCCGGCCAGGGGCCAGACCTCTGGGTCTTTCCTTCCCCACTTGGGTTGGGGCAGGATGTCCCTCTTCCCATAGAGAGGACCTTTGGGGGTGGGGTTCCCCGGAAGGGAGGGTCCGATGTGGGCAGCCAGGCCCTGACCCCAGGAGCCTGCAGTTGACTGGTGGAGGCCTCTAGTCCTCAGCTGAGGTCCAGAAGGATTGGACAGAGAGGCACCGCCAGGCCTGGATCGCAGGCAGGGCAGGGCAGCTGGGAGTCGGAAGTGCTGGGAAGGGGGTCAGGGAGAGGCTGGTGCCAGACGGGAGTGATCT